GCAGGCCTGAGAGGCCAGGTCAATTTGGGTGTTCATCATGAGGATTGCTTCTGCTGTGGATCTGATGGACATGGGCATGTTGCCGAGAAGGTGGGGTGAAAGTGAGCGCCGGGGGTGGGTGAGGGCCTTGCTCTTGTTGAGAGGGGAGTCTTTCCCTAGCAGTGGAATGCTGTGGTCATTTTCTCTAGCATATTCCCTTGGGAAGTCTAGATTTGCTATTAATCTGGCTGAGAATCTAAGTTCTGTGCCTTAGAGACAATTTTCACTTTCTCATATTGTGCCTGGGACAGCCATGACTTTTTTTCCACCAAACAATATGCAAACGGAAACCAGTTCAAAGGGGGATAGAGTAAAAAATGAGGCAGTAGAAATGCCTTTGAATGGTTTTCTGTAGCTAATTCTCTTTAAATTTTGTCCTGCTTTTTTTCTTTATGCAGTGCTAGGTGTTTGTAAGTTTTCTAGTAGTATTGCTTTTGAGTTATACTATAATCTGAGTTACTCCTCTGCTCTAACATTGTTGCGGAAGAACTAGCTTATTGTTAGCCAGGTTGCTTGAAAGGTTGAGGGTGGAGTGGTTTGGCATTTCTGTTTTAAATAAACATTTAAACTCTCAATCAGTACTGTGCCTCGGTAAGTCTGTGCATGGACCTTAGTCTCTGAGGATAAAACATCCAGATTCTAGGCCTTTGTGAATCTTTGATTCTGTGAGTCTTTATATAAATAATGTTCTTGGAACAGAAACAATGTAAGGGACATTTGCAAAGAAATAATCTTTGCTTCTCTCCAGTTTCTCATTCTTGCCAGCAGAATCATTTCTTTTGCTACAGCTTTTTTCCCAATAAGATCTAAAAGTGCCGAAAGGGCAAAGGGAGGGAAAAAATGAGCCATTAAAAGAAGGATGATCCCTTCTTGTACCTGCCTCCTCCGTCTCAGTGGGGGGCCTTTCCAAGTGATAATGCCAGTCTGTGGTTTATGAAACTTTTCTCTTAAAGAGACTGAACTGAATTTGGTCTCCCTGGCATAGCATAGCCAAGTTACAACTTCTCTTGGCAGAGCATTTCACTGAAGTTTAAAGCAAAAGTAGACTAAAAGTTTTCATTTCATTTGCCATATGTTCACAAACATTCATAATAGAACAACAATTCAGAAGCAAGAATGCATTTTAAATAAATTCACTCAGATGAAATCCCTGAACCCCAAAAAAGTATTCTTGGTTAGGGCAGAGTGGGCTGTAATCAGGACTATAAAGCATTCCTTCCCGCTGCAAAGCCAAAAATCATTTATTGTTTCAGTGATTAAGTGTGGAAATAACAAGCTGATCACTAAACCTCACAGAATCATGAACATTAGGGCAAAAAACTCCACTATGTCACATTTCTGTTACCTCCTGTGAAGCGGTGGAGAGTGATACATTGATAATGAAAGCAAACACTGGTTAGAAGATGCTGTGCTGCATTACATACACTGCTGTCCAGAAATACTGTCTCAGCACATCCGCACACATTTTTGTTTTGTTTTGTTTTTTGAGATGGAGTTTCATTCTTGTTACCCAGGCTGGAGTGCAATGGCGCGATCTCGGCTCACCGCAACCTCCGCCTCCTGGGCTCAGGCAATTCTCCTGCCTCAGCCTCCCGAGTAGCTGGGATTACAGGCACGCACCACCATGCCCAGCTAACTTTTTGTTTTTTTAGTAGAGACGGGGTTTCACCATGTTGACCAGGATGGTCTCGATCTCTTGACCTCGTGATCCACCCACCTCAGCCTCCCAAAGTGCTGGGATTACAGGCTTGAGCCACCGCGCCCGGCATCCGCACACATTTTTAATGAAATGAGTTTCTATGTGAGTTTCCCTATGAAATTTTTCCCATGGATCAACCTTTTGAACTTTAGAACTTAAAATGTTTACTTGCACTACAGGTTCTTGGATAAAGTAGTATAAAATACAGACATTAACAAGCATGCATTTATTTACTGCCATCCGCTAAGCTATCCAGGAAGAGATTCAGATTTTTTTTTTCTTTTTTTTTTTTTTTTTTTGAGACAGAGTTTCACTCTTGTTGCCCAGGCTAGAGTGCAATGGCACGACATCAGCTCACCGCAACCTCCACCTCCCAGGTTCAAACGATTCTCCTATCTCAGCCTCTTTTTTTTTTTTTTTTTTTTTTGCGTGTATATTTTTAGTAGAAACAGGGTTTCTCCATGTTGGTCAGGCTGGTCTCAAACTCCCGACCTCAGGTGATCCGCCCACCTCGGCCTCCCAAAGTGCTGGGATTATAGGCATGTGCTACTTCAGCTGGCCCAAGATTTAGATTTTTTAAAAAAAAGGTTCTTACGTCTTCCCAGAGACCAGATCAAGCTAAATTTAAAAGATGAAAGCTATTTCTAATATAACCAAGGCCCAAACATGTAGAGATTAAAGGGAACCCTAAGGCATTGACTATTTTATTTCTTTAGCAAAATGAGTGTGAATAACTGCTTCATTGTCTATAGAAAGCACTCTCCACATATAACAACATTTGTTCTATCTGGAGGGCCCTGATCTGTGACCTTACTAACATTATCCAGGGACCCCAAATCCAAGTGCCTGTGGGACCAGGCAAATAAGGTAAAGAAGTGAAGTAGGCCAGGTGAGACTGTGGTGGTCTGCTGCTACCATTCCCATTTGAAGGAGCATCTGATTGTAAACCCCACCCAATCTGTGCTGTGCAGGTTGCTGGCCCAGTGTTTCCAGAACTTCCAGTTTTTCAAGAGATGTTCCATATCCCAAGTTTTTTGTTTTTTGTTTGTTTGTTTGTTTGCTCTTTGTTTTGAAACAGAGTCTTGCTCTATTGCCCAGCCTGAAGTGCAGTGGTGTGATCTTGGCTCACTGCACCCTCCACCTCCCGGGTTCAAGCAATGTCTCAGCCTCCTGAGTAGCTGGGATTATAGGTGCACACCACCACACCTGGCTAATTTTTGTATTTTTAGTAGAGACGGGATTTTACCATCTTGCGATCTGGTCTTTAACTCCTGACCTTGTGATCCACCCGCCTCAGCCTCCCAAAGTGCTGGAATTACAGGTGTGAGCTACCACGCCCAGCCCCATATCCCAGTTTTTAAATGTCAGATTATATTTTGAATGGTAGGCCAGCTAAATAAAACATCTGTGGAGCAAAGCATTCCACATGTTGCCATTTTGTGACCTTGGCCACAGCTTATTCTTGCCATCTATTGCAATATACTAGTTTACATTTCCACTTAAAGTGTACATTTCATTGAATTGCCTAGAGAATGTACATATTAGGTTTATCCACTATCTGCGTGAGCTTTCCTTAAGGGGCTAAACAAAAGCTTTATTATGTGATACCTCCTTTCCTTTGAAACAATTAAAAAGAGCGCAAAGAATTAGCCGGGCGTGGTGGCACACACCTGTAATCCCAGCTACTCAGGAGGCTGAGGCAGGAGAATTGCTTGAACCTGGGAGGCGGAGGTTGTAGTGAGCCGAGATCACACCATTGCACTCCAGCCTGGGTGACAGAGCAAGACTCTGTCTCTCAAAAACAAAAAAGTGTAAAGAAATAGGTATTTATATATAAAATCCTATATATTTAAATATATAAATATTTAAAATTTTAAATATATATGATTTTTTTCCCAGCCTATGTCCTGTAGCTTCACCACTCAAGCCTTAACTCACATTTCAAATTGGTCTGTTAGCCAAGCCACTTAGCAGAAGCTGCAGAGGAAATGGAACAAGAGTGAGTGGCCATTTGTTATTTAGTAAAATAGGATTTTGTTGTCTGTCTAGCCCTGTTGCCTAGCTCAAATTGAGCAGTTTTTCTCCAGTATTTTAAACTAACAATGTGAGTAATGCAGAGCAGTAATCCTAGGATTTCTATCTGTTGTGCTAACTTCACTCCTATCTGAACTGATAATACTCTCACAGACATTAACTTGTCAGTTTTCTCATTTCACTAGTCTAGGTCTCACTCATCTTTTTGTTTAAGTTTAAATATCCAGATCTCATTAATTGAGGGTCTAACTTGTGCTAGGCAATATGCTACACAGAGAAAATTAAAAAGATTTGATCCCTTTCCCTTCAAAGTTTACTCTCTGAAATAGAAGTTGACTATGCTACAATTTGCAAGGGCATGTGACACTGTGCAATGTCCCAGCTTTGTTTTGTTTTGAGATGGGGTCTTGCTTTGTTGTCAAGGCTGCTCTTAAACTCCTGGCCTCAAGCAGTCCTCCCACTTCAGCCTCTGAAAGTGCTAGGATTATAGGAATGAGCCACCATGCCCAGCCTGTCTCAGCTCACTTATGGTAGATTTTGCTGCCTCTAAACCAGGCGTCCCCAAACTTTTTACACAGGGGGCCAGTTCACTGTCCCTCAGACCGTTGGAGGGCCGCCACGTACTGTGCTCCTCTCACTGACCACCAATGAAAGAGGTGCCCCTTCCTGAAGTGCAGCGGGGGGCCGGATAAATGGCCTCAGGGGGCCGCATGCGACCCGCGGGCTGTAGTTTGGGGATGCCTGCTCTAAACAGTCATTTAGCCCAATTGATTTGAAAGTAGAGTGCTAGTAACAGCTAAAATGGAGGTTTCTTTCTTTTTTAACATATGAAACCCATTAGAAAAGAACAAGTAAAAGTATAATATGTGTCCCCCCAACACCCATCCCTACCCTGTGAAGTACATAAAGATCTTTCCTTTATTACACAGTACACCACAGGGAAGGTTAGGAGACACTGGTGCCTTAGCCTTACATACTTGTATTGGTTTTTGGCCAGGATCATGCACCAGGGAGACCAAGGATAGATTTTCATTAATAATGTCTTACAGGAAAATGGTATTGTCTTTTATAAAAGAGTTACCATCTCAGTGATCATGCCCCTCTGACACCAACACATCCTAGTAACTCCAACTTCTACAAAAGCAAGAGTTAACAGGAACTATGACCATACACGCAGTGACAAGAAGGCACAACCAGATGCAGGCACTTCACTAGCACAAACCACAAGTCATGCATGCAAGAAGAGAGCTTTAATGGAGCCTGCTCCCAACTCTTCAGTGTCTTCACCCATCAATTCTGAGTGCAATAACATAAAGCATACCAGCCCGAGGTTGTAATTTAGTGGGAAGCTGGGGCTTCCTTCTGCCTCCTGCTGCTTAGCAGTGGCTCTCTCCTCAGATTTTAGCTCTGCAGGCAGATCTGGGAGCTGTTTCGTTTCTTTCTGCTTTGTATCAAATTCTACTCCCATTTGCTCCTGAAGAAAAGCAGAGCTTTCTGAACTATCCAAAAGTTTCCACTGTCGTCTGCTCAACTACAATGCTTCCTTGGAGGTAGAGGGCGATTCTTGATGGTCTTACACTTGGGAATGTGTTGCTCAGCCACCTTGGGAGCAAAGTGGCGGCTACAGTGAGGACACTGAATGTAGTCTGGGTTTTCTGAAGGCAGGATGGGAGGCAAGTCTGAAGGGTTTCCACCTTTGGCAATTACCTGCTGGACCTCTCGAGCCTGGCGGAGGGTACGGATAAAATATTCGTGCTTCTGTCTCCAGTTGCTCTTCCGAGGAGGTTCAGCCTGTAATGTAAAAGGGATACTGATCTTTCAACTTGGCACTTGTCTCCTTACTGAGTCTCCATTAGAATAACAGTAAGAAAATGAAAAGGGTACTAATCTGCAAGGTCAAAGAGAACAGGAAAGGAGCAACAGTGGTAACTGACATGCCAGAGTTGAGGCAAACCAAGGGCCTGCAAAGCGGGTACTGCTGAGAGGCAAGCTGCTTTCCCAGCAGAACCGCAGAGAGTTTCAGTGCTTAGAAGTACCAGAGAGTGGAAAGTAAGGAGGTACAGGCCTGAAAACAGGCAGGACCCCACAGCTCCTCCCACCTTGCATATATCCAAGTGTCCAACACCCAAGCACACTTACAAAAGAACAAGGATTTATTCTCTGGAGAAATTGAACCAGACAAATTTCTGACTCAGGAAATCCAGATAAGTGAAACTTGGGGGTTAATCTGGGGGCTGAAAATGGGGATTAAGTAAGTACAAGTACACATACCAAATTATGGAACTGTCAGCCCCACTCTCCCGCTCAGGCCCCCAGAGTACCAAGCATATTAGCACCCTCTTAGGAAAAAGAGGGGTTCTTTGGATACACAGAGCAGTCTAGAGAAAAGCCTTCAGATACCTTGGAGAACCCTAATTAAAAGGCTCACTATTTAGTAACCTTAATATGAAGGTCCTTAGTCAAACAAGCCCCACTTAAGCTTAAATATGAAAGGACAGCCAGGAATCATCAAATATTTACTAAAGCTCTAACAAGAAAAAGGGTCTAAAAAGTCCACAAACAAAAAACCCAGGAAGCAGCAACAAGGCAGATAGCGGAAGAAAACATGAAACCATATCAACAAAATGAGTATTAGAAGAGGTTGCGTCCATAAAACAAGAAGCGTATACTGTGAAAAAAGGACAACCAGAGAACCAGAAAGAACTATTATAAATTTAAAATTTGATAGCTAAAAATAAAAATCAAATAGAAATGTTGTCAAGAAAATTTCTCAGAATGGGAAAAAAGATCAAGATGGAAAGTAAAAAGATAAGATTGGCAAATTAGAAAGTTAATCCTGGAAGTCCAACATGTGACCAGTAAGAGTTCCAAAAGGAACAGAGAAAGCATGAGGAGAAAATTATTACGTACATAATACAATTAACATTCCTAGAATTAACAGTCACACATCTTGAGATTGAATGGCTTACCAAGTATCCAGCACAATTATTGTAAAGTTTCAGAATTTCAAAATAAATAGAAAATTCCATAGCCTTTCAGAAAAAGAAAAAACAAAAACAAAAACAGGGTTCTTGTAATGGAACAGAAATCAAAATGACATTAAATTTCTCAATAGGCCGGGCGCGGTGGCTCAAGCCTGTAATCCCAGTACTTTGGGAGGCCGAGGCGGGTGGATCACAAGGTCAAGAGATCGAGACCAACCTTGGTCAACAAGGTGAAACCCCGTCTCTACTAAAAATACAAAAAATTAGCTGGGCATGGTGGTGCATGCCTGTAATCCCAGCTACTCAGGAGGCTGAGGCAGGAGAACTGCCTGAACCCAGGAGGCGGAGGTTGCGGTGAGCCGAGATCGTGCCATTGCACTCCAGCCTGGGTAACAAGAGCGAAACTCTGTCTCAAAAAAAAAAAACAAAAAAAAACAAAAAAATTTCTCAATAATACACTGGATGCTAAAAGCTAGTGGGAAATATCTTAAAAGTTCTTTTTTTTTTTTTTTTTGAGACAGAGTTTCGCTCTTGTTACCCAGGCGGGAGTGCAATGGCGCAATCTCGGCTCACCGCAACCTCTGCCTCCTGGGTTCAGGCAATTCTCCTGCCTCAACCTCCTGAGTAGCTGGGATTACAGGCACGTGCCACCATGCCCAGCCAATGTTTTGTATTTTTAGTAGAGATGGGGTTTCACCATGTTGACCAGGACGGTCTCGATCTCTTGACCTCGTGATCCACCCGCCTCGGCCTCCCAAAGTGCTGGGATTACAGGCTTGAGCCACCACGCCCGGCTTATCTTAAAAGTTCTAACAGAAAATCATTTTCTTCCTAGAATTCTGTACCCAGCCAAATCATCAAATGGGAGCCTATTAGATAGATACTACCATTCATTCCAAGACAATATACCTGCTGTGCCCCTTTCTTAGCTTCAGCAACGAGTAATAAAAGAAAAAGAATGCTGCAAACAGGGGAGCCAACACAGAAGAGAAGCAAAAAGAAGTCCCAAGACAATGGGCTTGCACCAGGCCTAGAAAATAACCAGTCCAGGTTGAAGCAGAAGGGATCAGAGTGGTGGAAGGGAGGTTTTCAGAATTAAAAAATCAAATTCATAGATTATTAGAGGTGTTTGAGCATTACAAAAACATTAACAGATGTCTGATATCAGATGGACCCCTGGGGGTAAAAATAAGAGGTATGTAGAAAATGAAGGAAATGAAAACATACATCCATTATTAACTCTAGGTACATGTGGGCAGAGACAACATTCACTCATTAATGAACAAAATTTACATGTTCATTACAATGTGAAAGCTGACTTCTTTTAACCAAAAATTGTGATTCAACTACAGTGGAAGGGTTAGAGAAGGAGAAAGGTAGGAGAGGGGGATATGAAAGAGAATTTCACTCACAACTTCCGTAAGAAGTTACCAGATAGGCCAAGCACTGTGGCTCATGCCTGTAATACCAGCACTCTGGGAGCCCAAGGTGGGCAGATCACTTGAGGTTGGAAGTTCAAGACCAGTTTGGCCAACATGGTGAAACCCTGTCTCTATTAAAAATACAAAAAATTAGCCAAGCGTGGTGGCACGTGCCTATAATCCCAGCTACTCAGGAGGCTGAGGCACAAAAATTGCTTGAACCTGGGAGGTGGAGGTTGCAGTAAGCCGAGACAGCACCACTGCACTCCAGCCTGCATGATAGAGACTCTGTCTCAAAAAAAAAAAAAAAAAAAAAAAAAAAACAGGTAATGTGGAAAATTGATAAATCAAGAAAATAAGAATATTATTTAGAAATATGTAAAGGCAGACCAGAAGAACCATCTAACAGAACTGAAGGCTGCCTCCGGGGGCTGGACTAGGGGCTCCACTGTAGGTCACTCAGTACAACATGACTTTTTAAATGCATACAAATACTATTAGATTTTTTTTTTTTTTTTTTTTTTTTTTGAGACGGAGTTTCACTCTTGTTACCCAGGCTGGAGTGCAATGGCACGATCTCGGCTCACCGCAACCTCCGCCTCCTGGGTTCAGGCAATTCTCCTGCCTCAGCCTCCTGAGTAGCTGGGATTACAGGCACGCACCACCATGCCCAGCTAATTTTTTGTATTTTTAGTAGAGACGGGGTTTCACCGTGTTGACCAGGATGGTCTCGATCTCCTGACCTCATGATCCACCCGCCTCAGCCTCTCAAAGTGCTGGGATTACAGGCTTGAGCCACCGCACCCAGCTTATTAGATCTTTAAAAAAGAAAAAGAGCAGACAAATAGCTCTTGGTGATCTGGCATTGTTAATGATGAATACAGTAGTAGAAAGGGAGATCTTATCAAAGGAAAAGAAAGGATCCTTGGGGAAAGTCTCTTACTGAAACAGACAAGAAGGCAAGAGAGTGTTAGAGATGGTATCTCGAAACCTTTAAAAGAATTTTATCAGGGGAAAGTTCCTCAAGTGTATGAAATACTTTAGTAATTTACTTCTTATACTCTAATTCCTATAATTTTATTCCTCATTGTACTGAAATTCTATTCAGTTAACACTTATTAAGCACAAAGCACAAAGATATGTTCCCTGTCCTTGAAAATGCTTATTAGTCCAGGAGAGAGATGGGATATACGTTCACTGGAAGTGAAGATTAAAGGATTCCAGGAAGATCACCTGTTGTTGAGTACTCTAGAGGAATGACAGGAAGGTACAACCACTCAGCTTCCAAAGGCACAGCACTGTGGAATAAGACTTGAGACATTACCGGGGTGGTGTGGGTACAGCTTAGTCTAGTTCCCTTCTGTCTTGGTGTTCTCAGTGTCACACATTCAGCCAAACTAGCTGCCATAAAGCTGGAGCATCTGATCTCAGGAACCTAATTATTTTACTTCACTGCAACTGTATTTACAAATTTAAGAAACACAAGATGTTTTAGGCTCTGGCCAAAAATAAATCGCTACAGTGGGACAGAATGAATCCCCAGTGGATTATTGGGTTGAACAGAAAGAAAACAGGAAAAAACAGTAAGTGGCCATCATATTATCTGCAAGAGTTTGGGAAAGTAGGTTTCAGGGAGATTGTCTCTGAACACAGATGGGACTTGCTTGTGATTTCCCCAAATCGTACTGAAAGAACTCTAAACAATTTCTACTAACAACCTAAACAATTTCTACTAACAACCTGTGAGTTTTTAAAGGCTCCAGCAAATACACAGAAACTGTAAAGTGCTGATGGACAAGAGGTGCCAGCACAGCAGAGGGAGGTTTGGAAAGAAACAAAAGCAGAACAACACTCTTATTTTTCTGGAATATTAGAACTAGATGGGCGTCCGAGATCATATGGTCTACACTTCCCAAACTTCACTCATTTGCACTTGCACTTAATCCTTACAATGCATTAAGATTTTTCTGTAAGTTCATGATCCCTGGAAATCAGGGGCTTAATATATTGTCATATTTTCCTAATATAATACTAAATGACTAATAAATTTTTCTAATAAAACACTAAACACTAAGACTACTAAAAGAAAGTTTGTCAGCATGCCACATTTTGAGAAATAACCATTTTATAAACCAAGTGGCACAACCTTAACAGTTCATTCATTTGTGAGACAGTCTTCTCCAGATATGTTGTCCAAATGTGCCTATGAAGTTAGCCTAAATTTATCATGTAAGTGTCATGAAACCCTTACGTTTTACACCCCGGTTTTTCTAAAGCGAGAAATAATTGGCAGGGGCATGGTTTGTAAGATAACCAGAAAGAAAGTCTGTTTTACCTTCAAGGTGTTTATACTCTAAATGGAGTGAAAAAGAATTCCAAACTTAGTTGTATTTCATCTGTTTACTCAGAAGCTATGTCAACACTGAGCTGATCTTAAAAGAGTAGACAGTTAAAGCAATGTCACAGATCCTAGTCTTGGGAGGTGGCAGAATACATTGCAAAGAGTGAGGAGTTCTCTCCAGGTAACAAAAATGCTGCATTTTTTTCTTTTTGTGTCCTTTAAATTTTCTACAGTAAACGTTTATTACTTTTATAATCCAAAGGACACAAATTCTAGGTCTAGATTTTTTAGTCATTCCAACCAAGAGTTATAGGCTGACCCTGCCACCTAAAGCTATTTGTGACCTCAAACAACTCACTTAGCCTATCCAAGTCTTGATTTTTGCATTGATACATACAATGAGAGATAATGAGAGAATCGCATGAAAAGCTCCCATCACAATGCTGGCAAGCAGTAGTAATCAAGAAATGTTCATTTTAGACGTCAATTCTTCCTACATGACACATGATTTTTCCCTAAACTGATGATGACATAACAGACCCCTACAATGATCCCCACATCAAGTCACATCCATAAGGCTCTTGTTACCTTGGCTGAAGCTGGCCGCTTCCAGTTCAAGTACTGCTCTAGTTCTGTGCCCTTAGCCCGGGCCCTGGAGGAGTCAAACACTTTCCTCTTGGACTCCCGCATCCTGCTGCAGACGGTGGAGTGTCTCTCCAGCCTGAGCAGGAGGAATTTGCGCCCACAGTGGCTGCACTCGCCCAGTTGGGGCTCTTCAACGGAGCCGCCGGAACCTGAGGAGTCTGGTGCCGTGGACAGGCTGGAATTTCTGGCGGATCCCTGCAAAGAACCGCCTGGTGTTTCTGAAGGCGGAGAGAACTTCTCCATCGACGGCTCTGGGACTCGGTCTCGCATTTTGTTATTGCTTGCCACCAGCCTTTCCCTTTTGAGCCTCTGGATTTTATAATCAGAGAGCTGGAATGGACTCAAATTTTGTTGAGACCATCCCCAAGCTTCACCCTGTCTCCTGTCTCTACCGAATTCTTCCTCAAACTCAGAGTCTGGGGAGAAGATAGGTTTGTACGTGGTGTTGCTATTATCACCTTTAACTCTTCTCCTGGGTAGTGTAATTTTCTGCAGCTCTCTGTTTTCGTTTTCCTTGGCCTGTGCCTTTTGTTTCTGGATCCTTCTGAGTTCCTCCTCTGTCTTCTTCAGCTTTCCCCTCAGAAGAATCTGCTTCCTCCGGATTTCCTCCTCTAAGTTCTCCCCTGCAGCTTCTAGTCTTCGGATGTGCACCCGCTCAGTCCTCTGGAAGTTTCCCGCGGCCCTCTCCTGCACCGCAGCACGGACAGTACCAACCACAGCAAAGCCGACCTGGTCCCTCATACCAGGGTTGCTGGACGAAAACTCTCTCAGCTCAGGGGGCCTTGGGTAGGCATTCTGGTCCCCATCCGTGCCAGCCTCACCCATACTGCACGACTTCCGATGCACCACAGGTTTCAGTGGGTACGCCCGGTCCACCCCAACTCGTTTCTTTGTAAAGGGGATAAAGTCCTGGTTATTGGCTTTGGGATACCAGGATTGAGGGCCTGACGAGTCAAACGAACACTTTCCTTGGCCCTGGGAATCACTTCCTGGATCTTGCTGGCTGATGCCGGTATAGCGGGGATAGGAGTAGCTCCGCGCTTTTGTGCGGGTGTTCCATTTGGGGTGAGGGTAGACTTTGTCCAGCGTCAACTCTTTGTTGCTCAAAAGCTTCTTCTGGAAACTGTTCCTCAGGTGCCCCTTCAGGGACTGCTGGGAAGAGTCACCTTGTTCGTAAGAGTCCTGCTCCTCCGCTGAGTGGGGCCCTGGAGCTTCTGTTGTGTTATGTGGGAGCATAACGCCCACAGGCAGATGTGAGGCCAACTGGAGACCAGCCATTCAGGGCCTGGACGGACGCCTATGGGAGATTTAAACCAGATACATGGGAAGAGTTTGTCTGAGATTCACTCTTGGCGGCTAGAGCACACTATTTCTACATTTGCCCTGCCCACATTTCCTGAAACTTTTCTAGGGACGGTGGTGCTCGATCTGCCAAAGATTCCCTTCAACAAGCATTCGGTGAGTGATGATAATGCACAAGACACTGTGTTAGGCCCTGAGGATAGAAAAACGAAGGTGCCACAGGTGTTCCTGCTACCTGGCTTTCTTTCCTCCAGCACCTGCCTCTGCCACGCACAGTATACTCTATAGTAGGTGGAAAAAGCATCGGACTCAATGTCAGGACTTAGGCTTGTAACAGGACAAGCGACTTCTGCCTTGCTGGGCCCCGTTTCTTCACCTGTAAACTGAAGGGTTCCCTCCGAGTCCAGCCTCACCGTTTTACAGGTGAGAAAGCTGTGCCCCAGAGGTACTGACTGGCACAAAGAGCTCTCGGGTCTTCCCTCCTACTGGAACCGTGCTTGACTCCAAAGAGCACAGAGGCTGCTAGGGCCTGGAGCAGGCGCCTGGCTGGCAAACCCTCATCCCAGGAGTCCCCGTGGCGCAGACGGTAAAAGTTTTGTAACCTGAGCGTTGAGGCCACCTGACCTGGCTGCGGCCGGTGTTAGATCCCGAAGGCTGAAGTCACGTTCTGTCCCGAAGGGTCAACTGGGGCGCCCCCACTGCGGACTCCGCCTTTGGGGACAAGCCCTCTCGCTCTCCTGCCCTTCGGGCCCTTGGGAGGTGGAGGTGCTGACCCCAGGTCTCCCCGCCCTTCTGCGTACCTCAGGCCCTCGGGCACAGCTCCTGCTCAGGGGAAACCCCAGGCCCCAGTTTCCCAGCTCTGACCTCCCACTAGGCCGACGGCCGCGCAGGCGCTCTCAGCTGGGATCTGTTATTCCCGGTGCCTGGAGACGGAGTCACGTGCGCGCAGAGCCCCGCCCCTCGCCGCGAACTCCTCGGGGAGGCGCGCGCAGGCGCCGTGCACCAGCGACCCCGGGCGGCCGAGGGTCGGGGTGCGGTCAGTCCTGGCGTCACTTGACCCAGTGTCCGTTCAGCTCTGCAGTTCGGTCCAGCCCTGCCCTTGGGGAACAGGGGAGGGGCGGGAGAGTCTTTCTGGGGCATCATCAAAGAAGAACTTGTACTTTACTGAGAACGATGCTCCCAGACCCTGGGGCGTGCCTTTCTCGGGCAAAGGGCGGAGGCCCTGGCTGTGCCCCCGCGTGTTTCCGCCGCAGGACGCCGGCGTCCGCCCGCCTGGCGGGAGCGGGGCTGCTGCTGGCCTTTCTCGGCGCGCTCGGCTGCGCCGGGCGGGCCCCAGGTATGGCTGCACGCGCGCGCTCCCTGCTTGTCCTCGCCAAGGCTTTGGAACTTGCTGTCGACGTTTTTGCTACGCAGTATCTTTCCGGGGTAGCTTTTGTGGCCAATCTAATTATTTTGATATTATAATGTTTTACTCTCACGTGGTAACTCTGGCCGTCTCTACTTAGGGCCCAGGAATGACTCAGCCAAATGTAATGATAATAAAGTTAACTACCAGATCGAAAATAATCAGTATAACCTGGTTTCAACACTAAATGATACTCTATAACTTGTTGACATCGAAAGAAGGTTTGTTTTTCTTCTTCGCTTCGGTTCATCTGTGTAAACCGTTTGGAACAGGCAGTTCACTTTTTCCCTGTAACTGCTCAATTCAGGCACATGGAAAATAATATAGACAGCAGTCATCAGTATTAATACTTCAGCCTGACACATTACAGCTGTTACATGTTACAAAGAAATTCCTTGGTGGATCCTCCAGGTCAGTCCTGTTTTTGTTTTTGTTTTTAATTCTTCGTTTTCATCCCTAGTTGACTCCACCGCCTCTTCATGTATGCAGTTTCAGATATTCCCCACTCAGGGTCCCAATTATCAACCCCCACAGCTGCCCTCGGCAGAATTTACCAGCTTGCCTCTCTCTCTCTCTCTCTCTCTCTCTCTCTGTCTCTCTCTGTCTTTCCCTCTCCTTCCCTCTCCTCTATGAGAAAGAAGGGCCACTTTCTTTCCATGAGTTCTCTTCTCCGCCTCCCGGGTTCAAGAGATTCTCCTTCCTCAGCCTCCTGAGTAGCTGGGACTATAGGCACAGGCCAGCACGCCCGGCTAATTTTTGTATTTTTAGTGAGATGGGGTTCACCATGTTGGGCAGGATGGTCTCAATCTCTTGACTTCATGATCCACCTGCCTTGGCCTTCCAAAGTGCTGGGATTACAGGCGGGAGCCACCATGCCCAGCCCTGAATTAGTTTTTTTCAGTACCCTCCAGGAATTGACTTTGTCACTTTACCCCTGCATTTTTAAATTATTATTTTAATTTTTTTTTTTTTTTTTTTTTTTTGAGCCGGAGTTTTGCTCTTGTTACCCAGGCTGGAGTGCAATGGCGCAATCTCGGCTCACCGCAACCTCCGCCTCCTGGGTTCAGGCAATTCTCCTGTCTCAGCCTCCTGAGTAGCTGGGATTACAGGCACGCACAACCATGCCCAGCTAATTTTTTTGTATTTTTAGTAGAGACGGGGTTTCACTATGTTGACCAGGATGGTCTCGATCTCTTGACCTTGTGATCCACCCATCTCGGCCTCCCAAAGTGCTGGGATTACAGGCTTGAGCCACCGCGCCCGGCCTTATTTTAATTTTTTTTTATTTTTGACTCAAAGTTCTGCTAAATACCCCTGCATTTTGTTGTTTTTGTTTTTTTGGGTTTTTTGTTTGTTTGTTTTTGAGACAGAGTCTCGCTCTGTTGCCCAGGCTGGAGTGTAATAGCACTATCTGGGCTCACTGCAACTTCCACCTCCTGGGTTCAAGTGATTCTCCTGCCTCAACCTTCCACTCGGGGACTACAGGCATGTGCCACCATGCCCAGCTTTTTTTTTTTTTTTTTTTTTTTGGTATTTTTAGTAGCGATCACTATGTTGACCAGGATGGTCTCGATCTCTTGACCTTGTGATCTGCCCACCTCAGCCTCCCAAAGTGCTGGGATTACAGGTGTGAGCCACCACACCTGGCCTTTTTTTGTTGTTTTCTGGTTTTTTGTTTGTTTTGGTTTGTTTTTTTTGTTTGTTTGTTTTGAGACAGAATCTTGCCCTGTTGCCCAGGCTGGAGTGCAGTGGTGCAATCTTGGCTCACTGCACCCTCTACCTCTTGGGTTCAAGTGATTCTCCTGCCTCAGCCTCCTGAGCTAGTATTACAGGTGTCTGCCACTATGTCTGACTAATTTTTTTCTGTTTTTTTTAGAGAGGGGGTTTCACCATGTTGGGCAGGCTGGTCTTGAACTCCTGACCTCAGGTGATCTACCTGCCTTGGCCTCCCAGAAGTGCTGGGATTACAAGTGTGAGCCACCGTGCCCGTTCTCTGTTTTTGAAACAGAGTCTCACTCTGTCACCCAGGCTGGAGTGCAGTGGCACAATCACAGCTCACTGCAGCCTCAATTTCCACGGCTCAAGCAATCTTCCCACCTCAGCCTCAGGAGTAGCTGGAACTATAGGTGTGTGACCCCACACCCAGCTAACTTTTTTTTTTTTTTCTGTAGAGACAGGGTCTCCCTTTGTTACCCAGGTTGGACTCAAACATCCAGAATTAAAAGATCCTCCCACCTCAGTCTCGCAAAGTACTGAGATTACAGATGTGAGCTACAGCACCCTGCCTGCATCTTGTCAACTTCAAATTGTGTCTCTCCATAAACTCCATCTCTTTGGTTTTAAAAGAGACTCAACTTTCCCCTCCAACACAAACCACTTCCTTGACCTAACATTCATGTTACAGTCTCATTCATTCCTCCTCTTCTCCCCACAAGACTTCTTTTTTTTTTTTTTGAGATGGAGTTTCGCTCTTGTTACCCAGGCTGGAGTGCAATGGCGCGATCTCGGCTCACTGCAACCTCCGCCTCCTGGGTTCAGGCAGTTCTCCTGCCTCAGCCTCCTGAGTAGCTGGGATTACAGGCACGCGCCACCATGCCCAGCTAATTTTTTGTATTTTTTAGTAGAGACGGGGTTTCACCATGTTGACCAGGATGGTCTCGATCTCTTGACCTCGTGATCCACCCGCCTCGGCCTCCCAAAGTGCTGGGATTACAGGCTTGAGCCACCACGCCCGGCTTCCCACAAGACTTCTTTTTTTTTTTTTTTTTTTTTGAGACGGAGTTTCGCTCTTGTTACCCAGGCTGGAGTGCAATGGCGCGATCTCGGCTCACCGCGACCTCCGCCTCCTGGGTTCAGGCAATTCTCCTGCCTCAGCCTCCTGAGTAGCTGGGATTATAGGCACGCGCCACCATGCCCAGCTAATTTTTTGTATTTTTAGTAGAGACGGGGTTTCACCATGTTGACCAGGTTGGTCTCGATCTCTTGACCTTGTGATCCACCCGCCTCGGCCTCCCAAAGTGCTGAGATTACAGGCTTGAGCCACCGCGCCCGGCCTCACAAGACTTCTTAATGGAAATCTCCACATTTGCTGCCCCCATATCCTCATCTCCCTCTCATTGTCCAGCTCACTGGGGACTGGCTTCTACTTTCTCCACTTTATTTAACTACAGAGCTACCAGTGACCTTCCAAAGACAAAAGCTTCATTTCTTCATCCTACTCGTGTGACATTATTGATTATCCACCCACTTAGAACGCCCTTCTCAGTTGCTCCTGTGCCCTCTTGGTTTCCTCTTTCATGTCCTTGCTCCATTTTCTTCCAAGTCTCTGGCATATAATATCTTTTCCCCATCTGCCCCCTAAATGTAAGTGTGTTCTGAAGCCCTCAGATTTCTCATATATATATATATATATATATATATATATATATATATATATATATATGTGGGGGGGGGTGGGGGGTTCCAGACATTCTTTTCTTTTTTTTTTTTTTTTTTTTTTTTTTTTTTTTGAGACAGAGTTTCGCTCTTGTTACCCAGGCTGGAGTGCAATGGCGCGATCTCGGCTCACCGCAACCTCCACCTCCTGGGTTCAGGCAATTCTCCTGCCTCAGCCTCCTGAGTAGCTGGGATTACAGGCACGTGCCACCATGCCCAACTGATTTTTTTGTATTTTTAGTAGAGACAGGGTTTCACCATGTTGACCAGGATGGTCTCGATCTCTCGACCTCGTGATCCACCCGCCTCGGCCTCCCAAAGTGCTGGGATTACAGGCTTGAGCCACCGCGCCCGGCCCAGACATTCTTTTCTTTAAAGATTTCAACCAAATGCTGAAATGTCAGGTTTCACCTGTGTTTAAATGACAGCCAACGTAGCTTTATTTAGTCTTTCTCATAAGTTACAGACTCAAATTTCAGACTGTCCATTTGACACCTCCACAAGATTGTGCCTCAAGAACCTCAAATTCTGTATGATAACATAAACTCGTGACCCTCTCCCTTTCTCAGATCCGCGTCTCCAGTGTGCCTGTTCATGCCCACAGCATCGGTCTTCCATGCTTCCCTCTTTGTTGCCTCTTATTTTCTTTTTTTGTTTGTTTATTTTGAGACCGAGTTTTGCTGTTGTTGCCCAGGCTGGAGTGTGATGGCACTCGGCTCACCGCAACCTCCGTCCCTGGGTTGAAGTAATTCTCCTGCCTCAGCCTCCCGAGTAGCTGGGATTACAGGCATGCACCACCACGCCCAGCTAATTTTGTATTTTTAGTAGATATGGGGTTTCTCCATATTGGTCAGGCTGGTCTTGAACTCCCAAACTCAGGTGATCCACCTGCCTTGGACTCCCAAAGTGCTGGGATTACAGGCAAGAGCCAATGCACCTGACCATTGCCTCTTCCTTCTAACTGATCACAGGTTTTATCGAGTTTACTTTTTTAAAAATTTTGAGACAGTCTTGCCCTTGTCACCCAGGCTGGGGGGCAGTGGCACGATCTCAGCTCACTGCAACCTCTGCCTCTCAGGTTCAAGCAATTCTCCTGCCTCAGCCTCCCTGGTAGCTGGGACTACAAGTGCATGCCAGCAGGCCTGACTAATTTTTGTATTTTTAGTAGAAATAGGGTTTCATCATGTTGGCCAGGCTGGTCTTGACCTCAGGTGATCCACCCATCTCAGCCTCCCAAAGTGCTGAGGTTACATGCTTGAGCCACTGTGCCCGGCCTATTCATTTACTTCTGCAACGTCTCTCATATATGACTCTTCCTTTACATTTCTGCTGCCCAAGTGAGTTTTTCTTCACTTCTCCTTGGGATGGCATAGCCCTCCTAACTTCTCTTCTTGCCTTCAATATCTGCTCTTCAAACCCATCCTTCATGCTGCTGCCAGAATAATTATCCTAAATATTTCTTTCCCCAAGCTTTATTAAGATATAATTGACAAGTACAAAGTATGTCTATATTTGCAGTGTACAAAGCAATGATTTGATACATGTATGCATTGTGCAGTGATTAAATCAAGCTAATTACTAAATATTTCTAACCCTATTATTTCCCTCCCCAGTGGCTTCTTCTCTACCTAGAGAATAAAGTTGAAATGCATGATTTAGCATGGTATTTCTACCTCCCAGATTAGGCACAGCCTACCTTTTCAGTCTTGTCTCCCCTTAATAAGCCCCGGGGTCCAACCCAGTGAGTCTTAACCCTGGCTGCGTGTTAAGACTACTTGGAAAGCAATACCTCGGGGTGAGGCCTGAGCATTAATTATTATTATTTTTTTTTTGAGATGGAGTCTCCCTCTGTCACCCAGGCTGGAGTACAGTGGTGTGATCTCAGCTCACTACAACCTCTGCTTCCCAGGTTCAAGCAATTCTCCTTCCTCAGCCTCCTGAGTAGCTGGGATTACAGATATGTGCCACCACTCCTGGCTAATTTTTGTATTTTTAGTAGAGATGCAGTTTCACGAGGTTGGTCAGGCTGGTCTCGAACTCCTGACCTTGTGATCTGTCCGCCTCAGCCTCCCAAAGTGCTTGGATGACAGGGGTGAGCCACTGCACCCAGTTGAGCATTAATATTTTTTAAAGCTTCCCCAAAGATCCTAATGCACAAGCAGGGTCGTGTACCTCTGGTCTAGCCACAACTGACTACTTGTACTTCATCTCCATGGCGCTACCTTACTCTAAGCTCCACGGACTGAGAGCTGGTAGAGCATGTCATTCACGGGAGTTGACTCTGGGCTGACTCTCTGGAACCACATCCCAGCTCCATCACTTACTGGCTGTGTGAACTTGGGTTAAATGTTTCCTCCAAGAACCCTTTCCCAGTCTTCCCAGTCAGAATTAATTAATTTGCTTGTTCATAATATTTTCTGTTCTTGTTATAGCACAGGGGTGGTTCCTGATGAGCTCTCAATGGATTTTCCTGGAATTAAATTACCATGCCATACATTTTATTGTCATTATTTGCATACATATATACCCCTTATACTAAGTTAAAAACTCTTTGAGGGCAAAGATTATATATAATTCATCTTTGTATATCTTAGAGTGCCCTATACATGTTAGACACTCAGTAGGTTTTGAATTCTATAGAGAAACATTTTTTTTTCTTGAGACAGAGTCTTGCTCTGTCACCCAGGCTAGAGTGCAGTGGCATGGTCTCGGCTCATTGCAACCTCTGTCTCCCTCATTCAAGGAATTCCCTGCTTCAGCCTCCTCGTAGCTGGGATTACAGGTGCCCACCACCACACCCAGCTAATTTTTGTATTTTCTTTTTTTTTTTTTTTTTTGAAATGGAGTTTTGGTCTTGTCACCCAGGCTGGAGTGCAATGGTGTGATCTCAGCTCACCACAACCTCCGCCTCCTGGGTTCAGGCAATTCTCCTGCCTCAGCCTCCTGAGTAGCTGGGATTACAGACACGTGCCACCATGCCCAGCTAATTTTTTATATATTTTTTTTTTTTTAGTAGAGACAGGGTTTCACCATGTTGACCAGGATGGTCTCAATCTCTTGACCTTGTGATCCACCTGCCTCGGCCTCCCAAAGTGCTGGGATTACAGGCGTGAGCCACCGTGCCCAGCCTTTTGTATTTTCAATAGAGATGGAATCTCACCATCTTAGCCAGGCTGGTCTTGAACTCCTGACCTCATGATCCACCCACCTTGGCCTCCCAATGTGCTTGGATTACAGGCATGAGCCACCACACCCAGCTGAGAAACTATTTTTTAAAATGAATTTTAGAGGAAGAAATACCATCAGCCAGATACTCTTGTTTAGAGTTATTTTCAGATATTGCCAAGCACAATATTCAGTCCGGCTTGCCCACCACCAACCCTCCACCTCTCAACAATAACGTTTTATGATTCTCTAGGATATGGATCCTCACTCTGTAGCAGGAAACTAGCAGATTGATGAATTTCCATGGCTAGCATCACAAATCCATCTCTCATTGCCAAGTCTGCCAACCTGGCATATTCATATAAGGAGTCTTATGTTATGAAGGGGTGTAGTGTATACAAGCAATCCGCAAAGGTCCAATAAACACCACAGTTTTTTTTCCACACACATTATGAATCATAAGGGTAGCTGGATTCAAATGTCTACACATCAACTCTAATTTTAACCATCTTCATCCAAATCCCCTGACAATTCCCTTTTCCCAAAATAAATTCATGTAGTTTGGCCATTTGGCTTAGATTGACTGATTCAACTGTAATTCTGGAGCCATGAGTTATTTTGCTTGTGCTCTTACTTTATTTGTTTAGTTATTTGTTCAAACATTATTTGACATTTTCATAGTAAGGGAGACCAGTGAGTAGTTTCCAGAAGCCCAGAAGGAGAAGTAACCTCCATTGGGACCTCCTGTGCACTTATGTCCCTGTATCCCCTATTCCAGATTAGTTATGACCCAAAATTTAAGAAGAACTGAATGAAAAGGGACAGAAAGGTTATATGTATCCTACTCAACTTATTTATAATGTTTTTATTTATTTATTTATTTATTTATTTATTTATTTATTTATTTATTTGAGACAGAGTCTTGCTCTATCACCCAGGCTGGAGTGCAGTGGGGCAATTTTGGCTCACTGTAGCCTTCACCTCCCAGGTTCAAACAATTCTCCTGCCTCAGTCTCCCGAGTAGCTGGGATTACAGGCACCCACCACCACACCCAGTCAATTTTTGTATTTTTGGTAGAAATGGGGTCTTACCATGTTGGCCAGGCTGGTCTCGAACTCCCGACCTGAAGTGATCTGCCCGCGTCAGCCTCTCAAAATGCTGGATTACAAGCTATTTATGGTATTTAATGTGTACTGCTTGTCTCTCATTTCCAGAATTAAGCTCCTCCAGGACAGGGATCCTGTTTTGTTTACTAACGTTTGCCAGGTCACCTAGAACAGGTGCCTGGCACACAGTAGCTGTCGGTATTTGACTGAATGTATCCCAATGTACTTCTTCGCCTATGCCTTTCTCCCCATGAGAACATGAGAAAAGGGGTGCTCTTGGTGAATGAAATGGGATGAGGGCAAGATGTGTGGAGGCCCGGCCGAGATCCCGAACAGATCCCGAACCCAAAGCTTTTTGGGTGGCCGAACCACCGCGTGCTGAAGTCCCATCTTCTGGGCGGGCTCGGGCCGATGTGCCGTCTCTGATTGGTCGTGTGGAGGTGATGGGCATGAGAGACGGCGAAGGGGCAGCTGCACACTAAACTTCCGGGCGCGGAGGTTTGCGCGCCTTGGTGAGCCGTTGGCGTGGTGGTCCCTGTGTGATCCCGGCGGCCGGTGGGGAGGACAAGGAGGGTGAGCCGGGAGGGGTCTCCGGAGTGTGCTTGTCAGGTCGATTAGCACTAAAATGTTAGTAGCAGGGGATTCTGGTAGCGAGAGGGCGGGACCCGGCATGGATGTCAGGAGGTCATTGGTCAGCAGGTGATTTCCCCGGAAGAGGCTTCAGCCGGCAGCTGCGAACCGAAGCTCCCTCTCCCGGCGTCGGGCTCCTCCTCCACACGCGCCTCGTCACCTGCACTCACGGCGAGTCGCAGTGGTTAAGGACGGACAGGTGTGGGTGTGGCCCTTTCTGACTCAGGCTTGCGGGGCCTGGAATAGTCCTTCACTCTTCTGCTTTCCTGGTTTCTGACAGGTTTGAGCATGGCAGAAGGCGACACCCTGATATCAGTGGATTATGAAGTTTTTGGGAAGGTCCAAGGGGTGTTTTTCCGCAAGTATACTCAGGTATGTGGCCTGCAGGCTTTGGGGACGTAACCTAGGGTGTGAGCATGGGAACAAGGGGCACGTTCCTGACAACTGTGAACTGGAAGCCGCCGGCTGTTAGGTAGCTGCATGGCAAAGAGGGAGTTTGTAGAGCAATGAGTAGAAAATGCTGTGCAATCGGTGAAACGTGATGTAAATGGAAGGTCATCCTGCTGTTATTATTGGTTTTTTTCTAACAGTAGTGCCTGAGCATCTAGACACATGTATTTTTTGTTTTTTGTTTTTTGTTTTTTTTTTTTTGAGACGGAGTCTCGCTCTTGTTGCCCAGGCTGGAGTGCAATGGCGCGATCTCGGCTCACCGCAACCTCCGCCTCCTGGGTTCAAGCAATTCTCCTGCCTCCGCATCCTGAGTAGCTGGGATTACAGGCACGCGCCACCATGCCCAGCTAATTTTTTTTTTTTTTTTTTTGTATTTTTAGTAGAGACGGGGTTTCACCATGTTGACCAGGATGGTCTCGATCTCTCGACCTCGTGATCCACCCGCCTCGGCCTCCCAAAGTGCTGGGATTACAGGCTTGAGCCACCGCGCCCGGCTAGACACACGTATTAATGAGCTTCTCTCTTCCAAGGGGAATACACGTTGTCCCCAGTTCTCGCTTTTGTGGCATCACCAAACCAAGTCAAATTTCTTAGAGGAAGGTTAACATTGCCCGAAGAGATGGCATTTAGATGACCTGATGGCATTTTTATAACTTAGGTAAATGCTTCCTCTGTAGCCGCTGCACTTTCTTCAGACCTTTCTCCAAGCTTCCCTCAATTCTCCACTTAATTGCTTTCTATTCTTTTCTGGTTTTGAAAGAACATTTACCTTTTCTAGCTGATGTCTTTCTTATTTAAAAAACTCTTTACCCATTCCAGAATAGGGGATCTGAATGTGGAGCCTGGTATTTTTTTTTTTTTTTTTTTTTTTTTTTTGAGATGGAGTTTCAGTCTTGTTACCCAGGCTGGAGTGCAATGGGGCGATCTCGGCTCACAGCAACCTCCACCTCCTGGGTTCAGGCAATTCTCCTGCCTCAGCCCCCTGAGTAGCTGGGATTACAGGCATGAGCCACCATGCCCAGCTAATTTTGTTTGTATTTTTAGTAGAGACGGGGTTTCACCATGTTGACCAGGATGGTCTCGATCTCTTTACCTTGTGATCCACCCGCCTCGGCCTCCCAAACTGCTGGGATTGCAGGCTTGAGCCACCGGAGCCTGGTATTCTTACTAGAGCAATAAGGGAGTATTTGAGGGGTTGGACAAAGTGTTGGCAGCCTTTACCTCTGCTTTAGTGTGGCTGATCTTCCCTCAACGGGCACACACAAATGCAAGCTCGTTTCCTCTGCCTTCTGCAGGTGTTGGCTACTGCCTTCCCAAGATGTCTCTAACCCCACAGAGAATGAGTTAGAACTGCCGGAATTCTTAAGTATCTCATCCCTGGGACTGTGGTACTTACAATTCAAATTCTAACCTGAATCTTTGAAATATGAGTGTGAATTGTCAATACCTCTTTTTCTCTTTTTTTTCTGGAGTATGGTGGCACAGTCACAGCCCATTGCAGCCTCAACCTCCCAGGCTCAAATGATCCTCCTTCCTCAGCCGTCCAAGTAGCTGAGACCACAGGCTGTTTTTTTTTTGTTTTTTGTTTTTTGTTTTTTTTAATAGAGAGCTCAAGTGATCCTCCTTTCTCAACCTTCCAAGTAGCTGGGACCACAGGTTGTTTTTTTTGTTTTGTTTTGTTTTGTTTTTAATAGAGAGCTATGTTGGCCAGACTGGTCTTGAACTCCTGACCTCAGGTGATTCACCTGCCTCAGCCTCCCAAAGTACTGGGATTATAGGCGTGAGCCACCGTGCTTATTCTAAATATTTAATATAAATGGAATCATTCAAATGTGTCCTTTTTTGTGTGACTGGCTCCTTTCACTTAACATATTGTTTTCAAGGTTTATCTACAGTGTAGCATGTATTAGTTAGTATTCCATTCCTTTTCATGGTTGAATAATATCCCATTATATGGATGTACCACATTATTTTATCCATTCATCAATTGACGGAAATTTGAGTTTCTGATTTCTGGCCTTTATGAATAATAATGCTGTGAACACATATGCACATATTTTTGTGTAGACATTTTCAGTTCCATTGATTATGTAAATGCTAGTAGATTGCTGGGTCATAGGTAACTTTATCTTTAACTTTTTGAGGAATTGCCAAACTTTTCCAAAGTAGCTATACAATTTTATGTTATCATTGGCAATGTGTGAGAATTCCAATTTGTCCACATCCTTGCCAACAGTGGTTACTGTCTTTTATGTTAGCCATCCTAGTGGGTATGAGGTCATATCTCATTGTGGTTGTTTGTTTTTCAGGTATTAATACATTTAAAAGGATTTGAGTCATACAAGAAATGTCCTCCAACTCCAGTGGAAGTAAACCACCTAAAAAAATTTAAAAAGATAACTGGAAAAATCCCTAAATATGTGGAAACCATATAGTACGCTTATTTCTAAAATTGTGGTAGGATACATAAAACGTAGAAATTACTGTTTTAACTGTTTTTAAATGTACAATTCAGTGGCCTTAAGTACATTCTGTGTTTTTACATCTACAGAATACTTTTCATCTTGTAAAAGTGAAACTCTGTATTCATTAAACACTAACTCTCCATTTTCTCCTTTTTCCGAGCCCTTGACAGTCATAAATCTACATTCTATATTAATTCAACTACTCTAGTTACCTCATATGAGTGGAATTTGACAGAATTTGTCCTTTTGTGGCTTGCTTATTTCACTGAGCGTAATATCCTCAAGGTTCATTCGTGTTATATATTGAAAGTAAAAACAATTTCCTTTCTTTGTAAGGCTGAATAATATTCTGTTGTACGTGTATTCTTTCAGGGTGGTTTTGATTTGCCTTCCTAATGACTAATGATGTTGAGCATCTTTTCATTTGCTTATTGGCATATTTTATGTCTTCTTTGGAGAAATGTCCATTCAAATCTTTTTGCCCATTTTTAATTATTTGCCTTCTTATTTTTGAGTTGTAAGAATGTTTTTATTCTGGATACTAGTCCCTTAACAAATACATGATTTACAAATATTTTTCCCATTTTGTGGGTTGTCCTTTTACTTTCTTGATAGTGTCTCTGAAGTATAAAAGTTTTTACTTTTGATGAAGTCAAATTTATCTGTTCTTTTTTTTGCTTGTACTTTTAATGTTATATCTAAGAAATCTTTGCCTAATCCAAGGTCATGAAGGTTCATGCCTGTGCTTTTTTGTTTGTTTGTTTTGCTTTTGTTTTTTGTAGCAACTAGGTTTCACCATGTTGCTCAGTCTCATCCTAAATTCAAGCAATTTGCCCACCTTAGCCTCTCAAAGTGCTTGGATTACAGGTGTGAGCCACTACACCCAGCTGTCATGCTTATGTTTTCTTCAAAGTTTCATAGTTTACACTCTTAAATTGAGGTCTTTGTTCCAGTTTGAGTTATTTTTTATGTGCTGTAAGGTCGGAAATCCAGCTTTATTCTTTTTGCATATGAATATCCAGTTGTCCCAGCACTATTTGTTGAAATCAGTATTATTTCCCACATTCATTTGTCACAGCACCTTTTTCAAAAATCAACATAATGTAAGGGTTTATTTCTGGACTCTCAGTACTATTCCATTCATCTGTATGCTGTCTGCTATAGGTTTGTTCCCTTCAAATCTCATGTTGAAATTTGATCCCCAGTGTTGAAGGTGGGGCATAATGGGAGGTGTTTGAGTCCTGGGGGCAGGTTCCTCATGAGTAGATTAATGCCCTTCCTGGGGGGTGGAATGGTCAATGAGTTCTCACTCAATTAGTTCCCTCAAGAACTAGTTAAAAAGAGTCTGATACCTTACCTCTTCCCACCCCTGCCTCACTTCCTCTTTAACCACATGGTCTCTGCACATGCAGAATCCCCTTTACCTTCACCATGAGTGGAAACAGCCTAAGGCCCTCACCCGATGCCAGTGGCAGTCCTATGCTTGTACAGTCTACAGAATCATGAGCCAAATAAACCTCTTTTCTTTTTTTTTTTTTTTTTTTTTTGAGACAGAGTTTCGCTCTTGTTACCCAGGCTGGAGTGCAATGGCGCAATATCGGCTCACCGCAACCTCCGCCTCCTGGGTCCAGGCAGTTCTCCTGCCTCAGCCTCCTGAGTAGCTGGGATTACAGGCACACGCCACCATACCCAGCTAACTTTTTGTATTTTTAGTAGAGACGGGGTTTCACCATGTTGACCAAGATGGTCTCGATCTCTTGACCTCGTGATCCACCCGCCTCGGCCTCCCAAAGTGCTGGGATTACAGGCGTGAGCCACCAGGCCTGGCCTAAACCTCTTTTCTTTATAAATTACCCAGCCTTACATAGTTCTTTATAGCAACAAGAAACAGACTAAGCCATTATCCTTATGCCAATACCATACTGTCTCAGTTACTGCAGCTTTCTAGTAAGTTTTGAAATTGGTAAGTATGAATCCTTCAAGTTTGTTTTTCCTTTTCAAGATTATTTTTAGCTATTTTGGGTCCCTTATGTTTCCATGTAAATTTTAGTAAGTGTTTCTCAATTTCTGCAAAAGCACTGGCATTTTCATAGAGATTGAGTTGAATTTGTAGATCAATTGGGGAGTATTATCATCTTAACAATATTAAGTCTTCCAATCCATCAATAAGGAATGTCTTTTCATTTATTTAGATCCTCTTTAATTTCTTTCAAGAATGTTTTGTAGCTTTCCATGTATTTCTTGCAATTCTTTTAAATTTATTCCTAGACACTTCATCTTTTTGATGCCATTATAAATGGAATTGTTTCCTTAATTTCATTTTTAGGTTTTCATTGCTAGTGTATAGAAATACAATTGATTTGTATAACAATCTTATATCCTACAACCTTGTGAAATTGTTTATTAGCTCTAACATGTGCCTGTGTATGTTCCTTAGGACTTTTTGTATACAAGATATGTCATCTGTAAATAGAGGTAGTTTTACTTTTTCCTTTTCAATCTGAATGACTTTATTTTTTCTCTGTTGTAGATAGACCCTCAAGTATAACATTGGGTAAAGTAGTAACAGCAGACATCTTTGTCTTGTTCCTGATCTTAATGGGAACGTTTTCAGTCTTTCACCACTAAGTATGATGTTAGCAGTGGGTTTTTCATAGATCTAGTTTGTTGAGTATTTTTATTATAAAAGAGGTATTGGTTTTTGTCAAATGATTTTTGTGCCATCTATTAAAATGATTATATAGCTTTTGTTTTATTAATATGGTATATTAAATTGATTACTTCTTGTATATTGAATCAATCTTGTACTTTTGAAAGAAGTCCTAACTTGTCATGGGGTACAATTCTTTTTATATGTTGCTGGATTTGGTTTGCTTGTATTTTGCTGACAATTTTTGCATCTCTGTTCATAAGAGTATGGTTTTTTGGTTGCTTTTTCTTGTGACAGCTTTAGTTTTTTGGGGGGTTTATTTGTTTTTTCTTTTACTTCGGGCTTTTTTTTTTCTCCTTATTTTTTATCTTTGGTTTTAGTATGAGAATAATGCTGACTTAATAGGATGTGTTGGGAAGTGCTTCTTCTTCTTTTTAACACTTAATTCTTGTTTTGGATCCTCTTCTATTTTTTTGGAAGAGTTTGTGAAGGGTTAGTAAAGGATTTTTTTTTTTTTTTTTTTTTTCTTGAGACGGAGTCTTGCTCTGTCACCAGGCTGTAGTGCACTGGCACGATCTCAGCTTACTACAACTTCTGTCTTCTGGGTTCAAGCGATTCTCCTGCCTCAGCCTCTCAAGCAGCTGGGACTACAGGCGTGTGCTACCATGCCCAGCTAAATTTTGTATTTTTAGTAGAGATGACGTTTCACCATGTTGGCCAGGATGGTCTTGATCTCCTGACCTCATGATCCGCCCGACTTGGCCTCCCAAAATGCTGGGATTACAGGCGTCAGCCACTGAGCCTGGCCTAAGGATTGTTTTTTTAAACATTTGGTAGAATTTAGCCATCTGGTCCTGGGCTTTTCTTTGTGGGAAGTTTTTTGATTAAAAATTCAATCTCTTTACTTGGTATAGGTTTATTCAGACTTTCTGTTTCTTCTTGATTCAGTTTTGATTGTTTTTCTTTCTAGATATTAGGTTTCTTTTATCCAAGTTAATCTAATTTGTTGGCATATAATTGTTCATAGAATTCCCTCATATCCTTTTTATCTTTGTAAGGTTGGTGATGATGTCTTCTCTTTTATTTCTGATTTTAGTAATTTGAGGCTTTCATCCTCTTTTCTTTATCAGTCTAGCTAAAGGTTGTGAATTTTGTTGATCTTGTCAAAGAAGCAACTTTTGTTTTATTGATTTTCTTTATTCTTCCACTTTCCATTAATTTCTGCTCTAATCTTTATTTCCTTCTTTCTGTTTGTTTTGAATTTAGTTTGCTCTTCCTCTAGTATCCTAAGGTGGATATCTTGATTATTGATTTGAAGAGACTTTGTTTTTAGATTGCAACTAGAGTTGGTGATTATGTTCCTTAAAATGTTGTCAGATGATTGTTTAAGCAGAAATGTGGTTATGAAGTAGAATTAGCTTTTTGAAATTTTCTCAGGAGAAAAAAACCCTGTTTACTTGTTCAATAGATATTCACAACTGAACATGAGTCAACAACATTATGCCATCATTAAAAAAATAAGAACAGAATTTAGCACACAAATGAAACCAGTAGGAAATGCCCATTCTCAATACTGGTTAAATTTTGGAGTGTTTTGTTCACTCTCAAGAGTTCAGATAAATCACATTGCAAATTTTTAAAGATTTACTTGACTATTACAACCTCCTATTTAAAACTGCCCATTTTTATAGCTATTTCGTATTTAAGATAACTCTTAAGAACTAGAGATAGTCAGCTCCCCTAGGTTAATTTGAAGCAGAAGAGGGCAGTTGTTATACCAAGTCAGTTGGATGTGGAATCTTACTCAAAATTAATTCCCAGCAGTCTTCTTTTATGCTATCATCTTTGGCACTTAGCAGTGCATCGGGTAGGTATCTTCTATTTTTCTTTATTCCTTGATTTCCTCTGTATCCCTCAAACGGTTATTTATTTGACTGGAGTCTATTTTGTTCATTAAGCAAACATGTCTTTGTTTTGAACTTGTCTTTGATTTGATGGATACTTCAATTCCTCATCATTCTTTTTTGCTTTGCATAACATTTTCTTTGGCCACCTCCAGCAATTTCCCACATTGACAAGGTTACTGCGCTGGCATTTTGACATGCAATCATGTTAACTCCTATTTTCTTTTGTAATCCAACACCTTCTATTAGATAGATTACTTTAACAATCAGTGACTTAATATTCTAAACATAAATTTATACAAAAATAAAATTACCTCCAAAACGTTGCTACCTTTCCTAAACATTCAGTCTTGCCACAGTTTAATAAAAGGAAAGAACATTAAAAAGGACAAGGCACCATAATGATCAGATGCTTTTCATAAGCCTAAAGGCATTGTGATTATTTAGATAGAAGAGAAGAAAGTCAAGTGAAAACCTGGTAGTCACGTAGTCTCATGGTTTGCTGTTGAGAGGCTGATTGCCAGCTGCTCTCCTTTTCTAGGAAAATAACAAAGTGGGCTTTGGATACAATATAAAGATGTTGGGTTAGACAGTTTCACTACAGTAAGAACGATGGGATGAGTTGCCCAGGAAATAACAAACAAATTAAGCAAACATGTCTTTACTTTGAACTTGAAATACTTTCTAATGATTTTTGAAGATATAATGAACATTAATCTGGATTTGTTTAGGTGTGGTCCTGGTTAAAGGCAAGGGGAAGGATCAGATCACTTCATGCTTTTTCCATTTAACATACCCAGTAGATTCTTGATTAGGGGAAGGGAAAATAAGCAAGATACAGTCCAGTATTCTAACAACAATCAGCCTTAGGGGATCATTTTAAAAGCATCTGTTTTGGACTTAAGTCTTCAGTACTTAACCAAATTGACTACACACTGAAAAATTCTAGTGCCTGGGTTTTATAGGGTAGAAGAAGGAGGACATGGAATCGAGTGGCCAACACTTCATGTGAAGATCAGCAATGAGATCCTTCCTGCTGTCTTTCTGTTTTGACTGTTCTGGGCAGTATCAAATTAGTTTCAGTGGCTTGATTCTAGGCCAAGAGTCTGGCAACAGATGATAGTCTTTGTTTTCTTCAATCTCACTGGATCTCTCTCTCTTTTTTTCCCCCCTTAGGCTGAGGGTAAAAAGCTGGGATTGGTAGGCTGGGTCCAGAACACTGACCAGGGCACAGTGCAAGGACAATTGCAAGGTCCCATCTCCAAGGTGCGTCATATGCAGGAATGGCTTGAAACAAGAGGAAGTCCCAAATCACACATCGACAAAGCAAACTTCAACAATGAGAAAGTCATCTTAAAGTTGGATTACTCAGACTTCCAAATTGTAAAATAATGGTCTCAATTTAAACATCTCATTGGTTTGGTTTTTATTGTTAATAGAGATAGAACTATTGTGTGTTAATATTAGCATTAGTCAATAAGTTATTTTAATGACAGATATTTGAATGTTATTATATTACCTATATGATAGAAGGATTACAACTGTACACAAATCTAATTAATAAAAACGTTAGAACCTTCTGCTTAGAGTACTTTTAAAAAATCTTCAGTGAACTTCCTTTTGGGAGAAGTAAGAGGTATTTATTCAGTAAACATTTGTGGGAAGAGGATTTTGAGGTAATTTAAAGAGGTCTGAAAGAAAAAAGTTATGTTGGTTAGGCGTGGTGGCTCATGCTTGTAATCTCAGCACTTTGGGAGGCCAAGGTGGGCAGATCACCTGAGGTCGGGAGTTCGAGACCAGCCTGACCAACATGGATAAACCCCATCTCTACTAAAAATACAAAATTAGGTGGGTATGGTGGCGCATGCTTGTAATCCTAACTAACTTGGGAGGCTGAGGCAGTAGAATCACTTGAACCTGGGAGGTAGAGGTTGGGGTGAGCCAAGATCATGCCATTGCACTCCAGCCTGGGCAACAATAGTGAAACTCCGTCTTAAAAAAAAAAAAAGAAAGAAAGAAAAGAAAAGATTAAAAGTTATGTTACTTTGAGTCGTTTCTTTAAATGGTTTCCGTGAAATTCTCTTCAAGAAATTACATGCCTAATAAGAACAAATACTGCAAGTTCAATTTGTTAGCTGCTCACATGATGTTTTGGATGAATTACTTTTAGTTTTCTGGAACTTCTGCTGCTGTTTCTTTTCTCTGGATAAGGAATTCACATAAAGTTATGTTATGGGCTGAACTGTGTCCCCGCCAAATTCATATGTTAAAGTCCCAATCCCCAGTACCTCAGAAAGTGACTGTTTGGACACAGGGTGGTTAAAGAGCTGAAGGTTAAATGAGGCTGTGAGGGTGGGCCCTAGTCCAATCTGATTGGTGTCCTTATAAGAGAACATATTGGACATACATGTGTGCAAAATGAAAGGTCTGTGAAAATGACTGTCTACAAGCCAAGGAGAGAGGTCTTAGAAGAAATAATTGCTGCCAATACCTTGATCTCAGACTTCTCTTCCGAACTAAGACGAAATAAACTGCTGCTTAAGCTACTCAGTCTGAGGTGCTTTGTTATGGCAGCCCTAGCAATAGTAGTAAGCATAAACAATTATCAGTATTTTACTTAATCAGCCCTAGAATACTGGTTGGTTGAGTTTGGTTCACCACTAAATGAGCATATATCAAATGCTTACCGAGTCTGACAAATTTGTTATAAATTTAATAGGGGAAGTGAAATGAGCAAGATACAGTCCAGTATTCTAACAACAATCAGTTACTTTAAATTCTCAATGAAAACGAGATAGAAAGCCAAATCTAAGGATTGGTTAACAATTCCAGAACACTTTATTCTCACAGCATTTTCAGAGTTCTGCTCTTCTTTAGTTATAAAAGAGGCTGTGGTGGCGTTGGGAAGATGTCAAGTCAGTGAAGAGAGTCTTGGTGTTGTCATCGGTAAATTAAGAGTTGAGCTAGACAGTTTCTGAGCCTTTTCCAGTTCCAAATGCTGTAATTCTAGGATGGAAGGCTCTGGAATATTCATTTATTCAGTACCTACCATAGAGCAGGCACTGTTCTTGGTCACTGGGATACAGCAGTAAGCAAAATAGACAAAATCCTTACCTTCACCTAGGTTACATTCTACGGAGAGAAGACAATCCGCAAACACATAAAATATATATTGAATTAAACGGTAGTAAGAGCAAAGGTCAAAATGACAAAAAAGGAAAGGGAAAAAAAAACACAAAAACAAAAGTAAAAGTTACTGCATAATCTTTCACACCATGCCAAAAGGTATATGGATTGAGAATCGTGGGTACCGTTCACTAAACCCTGGGATGCGGATCCTGGAAAACCTGGCGCGCATGTGCACTGGCGTGTCGCGGCCTGGCGCGCCCCCTCCAAAGCGCATGCTCGTGGGCTCGTACGTGCACGAGCCTCAAGACCCAAGGTGCGCGCGTCAGCGTCCGAGGCGGTTGGCGTTTGGGAGTTGGTTAAGCGGGACTCGAGGTGACTCTGGGGGAAGCACGCGACGAAAAGATGATTCCGGGAGCTCTTCTAACACCAGAAGAACCCTGGTGATGGCTGCGTGCAGCTTTCGGAGCCGGATGCTCAAGGGCCTGGGAGGCCTGGAGGCCTGGCGGCGGGGCGGGCCCAGTGTGGGGACGCGGACGGGGCAGGCTGGGGAGGGGCTGGGCCTGGCTGGAAGGCGGCGCTGTCCCGGGCTTGGCCCGCGCGGCGCTCCCAGGCCCCTGGGCCCTGGATCTGGGCCCGTGCGTCCAGTCCGTCCCAGGCGCTGGGAGACGTCATCAGGAAATCGTTGGGCTTACATTAATCGGAATACGTATTAAACGTTTACCCCTCACTTGCTGCCGGCTACCAAGTGCATTGGTTTAGAAAGAAGCAGAAGTTCTGCAGTTAGAGCCCTGATTTTTCCGAGTTTGGAAAACCAGCCCCACTGCCTGCAGAGGGCCTCTGATGGAGAAGAGGGGATACCTTTAATGCCACTAGAATCTTAGGGTTTGGTTTTTTTGTTTTTTGTTTTTTGTTTTTTTACTTGCAGGAAAACTTAAAATCAAGTTCAGGCAGCTCTATGCCATTATTATTATTGCCAAGGTAGTTTATGCCCATCTGTAAAGACCAAAAGAGTATTAATAATAATGACTTTATGGCTGGGGCGCAGTGGCTCACACCTGTAATTCCAGCACTTTGGGAGGCCAAGGCGGGAGGATCACTTGAGCCCAGGAGTTCGAGACCAACCTGGCCAACATGGTGAAACCTCGTCTCTACATAAAAGACAAAAATTAGCCAGGCGTGGTGGTGGGTGCCTATAATCCCAGCTACTCGGGAGGTTGAGGCTGGAGGATTGCTTGAGCCTGAGAGACAGAGGCTGCAGTGAGCTGAGACTGTCATTGCACTCCAGCCTGGGTGACAGAGCGAGACCCTGTTTCAAAAAAAAAGAATAATAACGACCTTATGAAAACATCAAAGATTAAACTGGATTTAACAGTTAAATGGCAAAGAAAGGTTTATATGAAAAGGAATTTTCCTTCTTTATCTTTTCCCATTCTCAGTCTCCTTCCCCTGAGGTGACAAAGCTTAACTATAATAATAATAATAATCTCCTAATGCCCCCAACCTCTCCCCCAAATTGATAACAATTTGATTTTTAAAATTTCTTCCTGTTGCTTCACTTTATTACAAGTCTTAGCAATTCATTTTAAGTATTTTTCCAAAAGTCATGGTTATTGTGTAATGCACAAATGTTATGAAACTAGCTTGGACATTTTTGTCATGAATAATTTCTAGCTAATATTTCTTAGCTGTATTTAATTTAGGCATCTGTTTTTGGTGAAGTGGTTAGAATTTTGAATCCTGTCTTTACCGGTCAACTTCATGTGTAATTATGATTTCACTTTAGGGCATGTGGGATTCAGAAAGGAGCATTGAAAATTATGAAATTATGAATGTTTCTTTGGATGTTAATCCATTGCACCAAGCATGAGCTGTGCCTAGAGATCAGAGGTATAACTTTGTTTTGCTTTGTTTCACAATTTGGTTTAGTAAGAGCAACTTCATTTACCTCAGATGCTATTTCTTCATAATGCTTGAAAGAAATGTGTAATACTGTGTAATGCTGAAGCTTTGCTGAAGCTTTGATTATGTGTGTGTGTGTGGTTTTTTTTTTCCCCCTATAGGCAATTATTTCCAGTCAGAGAAGGAAACCAGTGCCTGGCATTCTCACCATCTTTCTCCCTGCCATGATCAAGTGCTTGTCAGTTGAAGTACAAGCCAAATTGCGTTCGGGTTTGGCCATAAGCTCCTTGGGCCAATGTGTTGAGGAACTTGCCCTCAACAGTATTGATGCTGAAGCAAAATGTGTGGCTGTCAGGGTGAATATGGAAACCTTCCAAGTTCAAGTGATAGACAATGGATTTGGGATGGGGAGTGATGATGTAGAGAAAGTGGGAAATCGTTATTTCACCAGTAAATGCCACTCGGTACAAGACTTGGAGAATCCAAGGTTTTATGGTTTCCGAGGAGAGGCCTTGGCAAGTATTGCTGACATGGCCAGCGCTGTGGAAATTTCATCCAAGAAAAACAGGACAATGAAAACTTTTGTGAAACTGTTTCAGAACGGAAAAGCCCTGAAAGCTTGTGAAGCTGATGTGACTAGACCAAGCGCTGGGACAACTGTAATAGTGTATAACCTGTTTTACCAGCTGCCTGTACGGAGGAAATGCATGGACCCTAGACTGGAGTTTGAGAAGGTTAGACAGAGGATAGAAGCTCTCTCACTCATGCACCCTTCCATTTCTTTTTCTTTGAGAAATGATGTTTCCGGTTCCATGGTTCTTCAGCTCCCTAAAACCAAAGACATATGTTCCCGATTTTGTCAAATTTATGGATTGGGGAAGTCCCAAAAGTTAAGAGAAATAAGTTTTAAATATAAAGAGTTTGAGCTTTGTGGCTATATCAGCTCTGAAGCACATTACAATAAGAATATGCAGTTTTTATTTGTGAACAAAAGACTAATTTTAAGGACAAAGCTACATAAACTCATTGACTTTTTATTAAGGAAAGAAAGTATTATATGCAAGCCAAAGAATGGTTCCAGCAGTAGGCAAATGAATTCAAGTCCTCGGCCCCGGTCTACCCCAGAACTCTATGGTATATATGTAATTAATGTGCAGTGCCAGTTCTGTGAATATGATGTCTGCATGGAGCCAGCCAAAACTCTGATTGAGTTTCAGAACTGGGACACTCTCTTGTTTTGCATTCAGGAAGGAGTGAAAATGTTTTTAAAGCAAGAAAAATTATTTGTGGAATTATCAGGTGAGGATATTAAGGAATTTAGTGAAGATAACGGTTTTAGTTTATTTGGTGCTACTCTTCAGAAGCATGTGACTTCCAATGAGAGGAGTAACCAGGGCAGTTTCCAGGAAGCATGTAATAATATTTTAGATTCCTATGAGGTGTTTAATTTGCAATCAAAAGCTGTGAAAAGAAAAGCTACTGCAGAAAACACAAACACACAGAATTCTAGGGATTTAGAAGCTATCAGAAGAAATACAAATGATTCACTTTTGTACACTTGTGAATCAGGTGGTCCAGGCCACAGCAAAATGACAGAGCCATCATCACAAAACAAAGACAGCTCTTGCTCAGAACCAAAGATGTTAGAACAAGAGGGAATTGTCGCATCAGAAGCAGGAGAAAATGAGAAACATAAAAAATCTTGCCTGGAACATAGCTCTTTAGAAAATCCATGTGGAACCAGTTCGGAAATGTTTTTAAGTCCCTCTCAGACACCACGTCACTTTGAGGAGAGCAGGGAGAATCTAACAATATGGAAAGAAAGTACTGTTAATGGCATGGCTGCCAACATCTTGAAAAATGATAGAATTCAGCCTCAACCAGAGAGATTTAAAGATGCTACTGAAGTGGGATGCCAGCCTCTGCCTTCTGAGGCAACATTACTGGGAGTACATAATGCTCAGATAGAGAAAGAGAAAAGACAAAAAGAACCTAGCAATTGTGGAGGAAGAAATGTTTTTAGTTATGGACGAGTTAAATTATGTTCCACTGGCTTTATAACTCATGTGGTACAAAATGAGAAAACTAAATCAACTGAAACAGAACAATCATTTAAAAATTATGTTAGACCTGGTCCCACAAGTGCCCAAGAAACATTTGGAAATAGAACACGTCATTCAGTTGAAACTCCAGACATAAAATATTTAGCCAGCACTTTAAGTAAAGAATCTGCTCAATTACCCAACAAAAAAATTTGCAGAACAAATATAAGTTATGGGCTAGAGAATGAACCTACAGCAACTTATAAAATGTTTTCTACTTTTCAGGAAGGTAGCAAAAAATCACAAACAGGTTGCATATTATCTGATACACTCTCCTCTTTCCCCTGGTATAGAAATGTTTCAAATGATATTAAGAAAACAGATAAATTAATTGGTTCCTCCAAACCAATCGTCCGTAAGAAGCTAAGCTTGAGTTCACAACTAGGATCATTAGAGAAGTTTAAGAGGCAATATGGAAAGATTGAAAATCTTCAGGATACTGAAGTAGAGGAAAGGAACGTTGAAGTCACTACCAATCTCTGTCCTCAAGTTGAACTGGACATTCTGCTGAAGGACAAGAACTGCTTAGACAACTCTGATGTTTGTAAAATCACTACTACGAAGCATAGTGATTCAAATAGTAGTTGTCAACCAGCAAGCCACAACCTTTACTCAGAGAAGTTTCCATTCTCCAAGGATGAAGATTGTTTAGAACAACAGATGCCTGGTTTGAGAGAAAACCCTATGACCCTGAAGGAGTTCTCTCTCTTTAATAGAAAACCTCTGGACCTTGAGAAATCATCTGAATCACTAGCCTCTAAATTATCCAGACTGAAGGGTTCTGAAAAAGAAACTCAAACAGTGGAGATGATGAGTCCTTTTAATGAACTTCCAAATTCAGATTCCAGTAGGAAAGACAGCGAGTTGTACAGTGCGTTAACACAAGATTTTTGTATGTTATTTAAAAACGAGCATGAAAAAGTAGAGAATGGTGTCATCCCAGTATCAGATTCTGCCACACAGGGTAATTCCTTTAATAAAAATAGTGAAACACACTCTAACAGCAGTACAACAGAGAACTCTGTGATATCAGAAACTCCTTTGGTATTGCCCTGTAATAATTCTAAAGTTACCGGTAAAGATTCAGATGTTCTTATCAGAGCTTCAGAAGAACAGATAGAAAGTCCTGACTCTCCCAGTGGAATGTTAGTGAATCTGGTAGAAGATGCCACAGGTGACCAAAATGGAATTTGTTTTCAAAGTGAGGAATCTAAAGCAAGAGCTTGTTCTGAAAATGAAGAGTCTAACACATGTTCGGATTGGCAGCAGCATTTTGATGTAGCCTTGGGAAGAATGGTTTATGTCAACAAAATGACTGGACTCAGCACATTCATTGCCCCAACTGAGGACATTCGGGCTGCTTGTACTAAAGACCTGACAACTGTGGCTGTGGATGTTGTACTTGAGAATGGTAAGTATGTAGTGTTCATGTGCATGAGATGCTTTTGGAGATGGGAATGCTGGACAAGGAATAAGATCCTCATTATCCAAAGAGATGATCTCAACAGATAGAACATTTTAAAGACCACTTATAAAACATATGTTGTGTTTTTGTGCTATATGAAGATTCTCTAGGTCCAACACTAATTTTTTTTTTTTTTTTTTTTTTTTTTTTTTTTTTTTTTTTTTTTTTTGAGACAAAGTCTCGCTCTGTCACCCAGGCTGGAGTGCAGTGGTGCAATCTCAGCTCACTGCAACCTCTGACCCCCGGTTCAAGCGATTCTCCTGTCTCAGCCTCCCATGTAGCTTGGATGACAAGAACACGCCACCACACCCAGCTAAATTTTTGTATTTTTAGTAGAGACAGGGTTTCACCATGTTGGCCAGGCTGTTCTCAAACTCCCAGCCTCAAGTGATCTGCCTGCCTTGGCCTCCCAGAGTGCTGGGAGTACAGGTGTGAGCCATCGTGCCCAGCCTCTAGGTCCAACACTATTTAAATGGAGAAGTACAGTGAAGGGATTTAAGTGTGTATATATGTGTCTGTGGGTGTATGTATGTGTAAGAAAGGGGGTGATGAGTACCTAGGAAGAACAACAATGTAAAAGCGGGGGAGACTGTCAAATTTTAATGAAAATGATACTATTAATAGTTGGGAAGGTCCACAGTACTTTCCTACCTTGTTTTCCCTTCCTCTCACATGCCCAACTCTCCTAAAAATATGTCTTTAAAGGCACCTGCAATGTCAGCATGGTATTTTACTGGAAGTTTCTCTGCATGGTTTCCAGATTAAGAGCCAGAATGATTCTGTAACCATCCTAGGTTTCCCAGTAAACTCTATGGCTTAGTACAGTACTGTATTTATGAACTTTTTCTTTCTAGAAAGTAGGACTTGTCCATGAACTTTTCAAAATATAGGTCAAGTACGTATTTTCATGACTATACTTTTCAAATGTACTTTATTTATTTATTTATTTCGAAATGGAGCCTCGCTCTGACACGCAGGCTGGAGTGCAGTGGCATGATCTAGGCTCACTGCAACCTCCGCCTCCCAGGTTCAAGCAATTCTCCTGCCTCAGCCTGCTGAGTAGCTGGGATTACAGGTGTGCACCACCATGCCCAGCTAATTTTTGTATTTTTAGTAGAGATGGGGTTTCACCATGTTGATCAGGCTGGTCTTGAATTCCTGACCTTGTGATCCACCTGCCTCGGCCTCCCAAAGTGCTAGGATCACAAATGTAAGCCACCGCACCTGGCCTCAAATATATACCTTATTATAAGGCATATGGTAAAATCTCCTTGATCTCTTTATGGTATAAGTAGCTGTTATGCAGGAAGACAATAGTATGGCTATTAGATTGTACCACAGGGTTACATTAGAGCCTCTACTAGTACTCTGGGTTCTTGGTCGACATTTAAAGTGACATCGACTTGGCAGTGTTTTGAGAGCCAGATGTTGAGAGGTGATAAAGCTGATTTCCATCTGGCTGTAATTTTGGCTTTGCACTAGGAGGATAAACATTACATCTGTATCCATATTAAAAGTTTTGAATGCTGCAGAAGAATGGAACGTGTATAAATATAGTTATAAGTCAATTTATAATTTCTCCTGAGGATGAGTATCTCTAGCAGGAAGCTGTGATTTCTTTAAGATTAAATAAGACCTTTACTTTTCAGTGTTTTTCTGTTTTTTTCCTTGTGAAAAAAAAAATCACTGTAGTAACTTCAGTAGTATTTGGAGAAAATTCATTTATTTGACTATTATTCCCCTGACTATCAAGTTGGTCTTAAAGCCACATTATGTGCTTTTCAATCTATGTAGTTTTATGTCCTGATTTATACTGAATGTTTATCAGAGGTAAATCTACATACAGCACTGCACCTGATCTTCCTGAAATGCAACTGCTTCTGTTATGGTGCCAAAAAATAACCGGCTAGCATGCCACTGTGAGATAGCTGTTGCTAAAAGAAAGGGGGAAACCTTAGCTGCCGTACTCAACATAAGTGTCTCTTCCTGTTGAATCTAGATATTTAAAACACTTTAACCTACTTAACATTCTGGATTAGCATACCTTTTAGTGAACTTTTGAGTGTCATGTTAACTCATAGTTTCCTAATGAAAAATATTTTGGTATAGAAGTTCCATGGGCTGGGCTCAGTGGCTCACACCTGAAATCCTAGCACTTTGGGAGGCCAAGGCAGGTGGATCATGAGGCCAGGAGATTGAGACCATCCTGGCTAACACGGTGAAACCCCATCTCTACTAAAAATACAAAAAATAGCCGGGCGCGGTGGCTCACGCCTGTAATCCCAGCACTTAGGGAGGCCGAGGCGGGTGGATCACGAGGTCAAGAGATCGAGACCATCCTGGTCAACATGGTGGAACCCCGTCTCTACTAAAAATACAAAAAATTAGCTGGGCATGGTGGCACGTGCCTGTAATCCCAGCTACTCAGGAGGCTGAGGCAGGAGAATTGCCTGAACCCAGGAGGCGGAGGTTGCGGTGAGCCGAGATCGCGCCATTGCACTCCAGCCTGGGTAACAAGAGCGAAACTCCGTCTCAAAAAAAAAAAAAAAATACAAAAAATCAGCCAGGCGTAGTGGCACGCGCCTGTAGTCCCAGCTACTTGGGAGGCGGAGGCCTAGGACCCAGGAAGCAGAGGTGGCAGTGAGCCGAGATCGTGCTACTGCACTCTAGCCTGGGCAACAGAGCGAGACTTTGCCTCAAAAAAAAAAAAGAGTTCCATGAAGAGATGGCTCCTCAGTACCCTGCTACGTTTCTGGAAATGGCTGATATACATTATGACATTAGGACATTGTCAAACTTTACACAAAGGTGTTACATGAGATAAATTGTAAAAGATAATTTTTTTTTTCTTGTTGCCCAGGCTGGAGTGCGGTGGTGTGATCCCAGCTCACCAAAACCTCTGCCTCCTAGGTTCAAGTGATTCTCCTGCCTCAGCCTACCGAGTAGCTGGGATTACAGGCATGTGCCACCACACCTGGCTAACTTTGTATTTTTAGTGGAGACGGGGTTTCTCCATGTTGGTCAGGCTGGTCTCAAACTCCTGACCTCAGGTGATCTGCCCGCCTCAGCCTCCCAAAGTGCTGGGATTACAGGTATGAGCCACCAGCCTAAAAGATAAATTTTAATGAACAGAAGAGAGAATGTGTAAAGGTGATTTTGAGGAGTAGTGTCAAGTCCCCAAGCCTTGGTAGTTTTTTCTTTAAAATATTTAATGCAGTTCTTTCTATTAGTAGTTGTAAACCTGTTTCACTTCATTATCTTAATTTTTTCATTCCTAACCTCTCCAGGTGTAGTCCAACAGATTTATCTATCATGTTTTGCTCTCGTTCTAAAGCTGTCAAATTAAGCATTGCTTCTAAAACTCAAATCTGACCTTCCTTCATGGAGAACAGCAGCATTTGGGCCAGACCTTATTAGACTCAAATTTGAATTGAGAACCTTTCATTTGTCCATCTGTTCACTTATTCATGCAACATCTGTTGATCATCCACACTGTGCGAGGTGCTGCCACATTGCAGGTTAACTGACTTTGCTTTCAGGAGTTCACAGTACTATTAGGGAAGAAAGCTATCTAAACATAATTGTAATATAATGAGACAAATGTTAGGATAGAGACATACATTGGGGATAAGAGACTCAAGCTGGAGAGTTGTGAAGGTTGTAGCAAGTTGTGGGTGACAAATACTGCTGCTCTATGTCTAACACAGGGCTTCTCTGGATGATTTTTTGTTGTAGGGTTTATCCTATGCATTGTAAGGTATTTAGCAGCATCTGTGGCCTTTATCTGCTAGATGCTAGTAGAATGTTTTGACAATGACAAGTGTCTCAAAACATTGCCAGATATTCCCTTGGGCAAAGTTACCTCCCATTGAGAATCACAGTGACCTATTCTAGGCCTTCATTCTGTCTGGTGTAAATGGGTAATGGAACTAAGCATTAATGGAGAGTCCTAAATTGACAACATAATTTCATTAAAGGACTTCTGCTTCTCAATTTAGTGTTTAGTAGTCTGCTTTATGTCTTGACTCAGTTTGTGTAGAAAGAGGTTTTATGTAATTAAATGTTTAAATAGTTGTATTTTAAGTTCAGATTTCTAGGTTTTTCTTTCTTATATTTAGGATCTCAGTACAGGTGTCATCCTTTTAGAAGCGACCTTGTTCTTCCTTTCCTTCCGAGAGCTCGAGCAGAGAGGACGGTGATGAGACAGGAAAACAGAGGTAGGGGTGGCAGAGACTGCTGGGGCACCCAGTACACATCGTGCCACCTAACTCAAAAAACAAAGCAGGCTTGCATTAAGCTTGATCAATGCCAGCTGTGCTGTACTGGAATCAGGAATTCCCCACGGCCCTATTTAACAGCAGAACTAAGTAATTCAGTGCATGCATTTAGATCAGAAATTACTTTTCCAGACTTGAGGTCAATACTTGGTAATTATGCGTAGTCTGTGGTGTCCTCGTGATTGGGGGACATGTTTCTTATTTTTAAAAAGGCTGGACTGGCACTCCCAAGTTGCTGTAGTTTTTTGTTTTGTTTTGTTTTGTTTTGTTTTTGAGACGGAGTTTCGCTCTTATTACCCAGGCTGGAGTGCAATGGCGTGATCTCGGCTCACCGCAACCTCCGCCTCCTGGGTTCAGGCAATTCTCCTGCCTCAGCCACCTGAGTAACTGGGATTACAGGCACGCGCCACCATGCCCAGCTTATGTTTTGTATTTTTAGTAGAGATGGGATTTCACCATGTCGACCAGGATGGTCTCGATCTCTTGACCTCGTGATCCACCCGCCTCGGCCTCCCAAAGTGCTAGGATTACAGGCTTGAGCCACCGCGCCCGGCCATTGCTGTAGTTTTTAAGCAAAAATCTTCAGAAAAAGCTACAGACAGCTATTTTGTGTGTGTGTGTCTAAAAATAGATAACGTATATATTTTACCTAAAGGCAGTAAGGCTACAAATTTGAGCCATAGCTTCCCCACCAGTATTCCAAAATATCTCTTGTAAACAGCTTGGAGAAAAGTTATAATGCCAGAATATACAGTCACCAACTCTAGTTTAAAAAGTAACAGATCAAAACAATTTAGAGATACAGCAAACACTGCACATTTGTAGAATATAGAAACAATGTATGTGATCTTTGGTCTTGAGGTTACAGCTCACCAAACAGGAAATGCCATTACCTCCTGTCCTGTGGTTCTTGATGCCAACTTTACCTGTTCCCTTTTGCCCTAGATACTATGGATGATACTGCTGGTAGTGAATCACTTCAGTCTTTGTTCTCAGAATGGGACAATCCAGTATTTGCCCGTTATCCAGAGGTGGGTCTTCAGCAGTTTTTCTTTGCCTGTTGTTTTAAACCTTGAGTTTCAAGATGGATACAGCTGCATGCACTTAGGTCTCAGCTACTCAGGAGGCTGAGGTGGGAGGATCACTTGAGGCCAGAATTTCAAGGCTGTGGTGTGCTGATTGCACCTGTGAATAGCCACTGCACTGTAGCCTGGGCAACATAGTGAGACTCCATCTCTTTTTTTTTTTTTTTTTTTTTTTGAGATGGAGTTTCGCCTTTTCACCCAGGCTGGAGTGCAGTGGCGTGATCTTGGCTCACTGCTACCTTCGCCTTCTGGTTTCAAGCAATTCTCCTGCCTCAGCCCCCTGAGTACTGGGACTACAGGCCTGCACCACCACGACTGGCTAATTTTTGTATTTTTAATAGAGACGGGGTTTCACCATGTTGGCCAGACTAATCTTCGTGATCCGCCCGCCTCGGCTTCCCAAAGTGCTAAGATTACAGGCTTGAGCCACCATACCCCACACTCCATCTCTTAAAAAAAAAAAGTAAATAAATTAAAAATAAAATGTGAATTTTATTTAAGCTGAGTATGGTCATGCAAGACTATACTAATTCGTAATTATGATTGGAAACTGGGCATATTTCCAAGTAATTTATTTGGAAGTTAATGTTTAATGTAGAGAGGAAAAATCAAATTAATAGCATTTTAGGAGCTCAGGCATTTTGGATTAAACATGTATAATCAATTTGAGAATAGTGAATGTGTTTACCATTCTCAGAAACCCTGACTTGTAGCTTTGGCACAGTATTCAGGGTGGTGATAATAAAACTGTTATCATTAGATAAAGCCACACATCTTCTACTGGAGGAACAGTTCCTCGTTGGCCCTGGGTGGATGTTCTCTCCTGGGTGTGTTTTCACAGAATGTACTGTGCATGCTGTAAACAGGGTGTATGATAGATGAGCATTTGATTACCCATTCTTTCCTTGAGATATCATTTAAGGACTTGATCATGGAGCATAGACAAATTATTGTTCTGAAACAGTATTGGGGGTTTTTTTTGTCAGTAATTTTGTTTATTTGCGAAAATTGTTATTTAAGACTCATTATTCATAGATTCTTTTGAATTTCTCTAAATTCCCTGAATTCAACCCACCTCTACTAGGCTATATAAAAATGAATGTTTTTAAAGCACTGATGTCTTTGGTAAAACAGTTCTGCAGACACAAAAATTAAAATTTCTGTTATGTGTTACTGAGTCTTTCTAGGTTGCTGTTGATGTAAGCAGTGGCCAGGCTGAGAGCTTAGCAGTTAAAATTCACAACGTCTTGTATCCCTATCGTTTCACCAAAGAAATGATTCATTCAATGCAGGTAAAAGATTGATATCGAAATCTCATAAATATATATAAGGCCTAAGCTAGACTAACTTTTCTGAAATTGGATTTATTTAATGATATAGACTACTTTGGTCAAGGCACGTGTGTGTGTGTGTGTGTGTGTGTGTGTGCGCACACGTGTGCACATGTGCATGGGTGCACACTTATCTTACTGCAACTTTTATCATCAGAAGAAAAAGCAAGGAATTCATTATAATTACAAAGAAAGAAATGTCTTTAGTAGTGTGAAAAGGTTTGGAGGGAATGAATTATGGATTCAGGCTCACAGTTTCAGGGATTCTCAAGGTTCTCCTGAAGAAGATTATCTACTGACTTTGTATTTGGCAATAATTTATAAATCAATAAGTGCTTTAGTGACCTTGTCCTTAAGTGTGCAACAATGCCCTCTTAGAAATGACCCTCTATTGTGTGAGGCTACCCAGGCTTGGGAAAGCTCATATTGAGGAGTTCCGTTAACAAAAGGGACCCTTTGTCTGATCTGCTCTTCTACTTTGCCCTCTGCTTACCACCTCAGCTGTCTTAGTCCCTTTGTTTTCAGTATGGAAACAAATTAGGAGGTTAACAGATCTAGGTAAACTCCTAACCTGGCATTCACCTGGTACCACAGCAGGCAAGCAGTTGATGTAGAAATAGATCCTGGGGCAGTGGTATGGGCTAGGGGGAATTGAGGCGCCTCATGTACCTAGACAGAGAGGAACCACCAAGGTCTAAAGCCACAAGTGGCTTTTAACTTCTTCAATTGATTAGCTCCTCCAAAATAGTTTTCTTTGTTTTTGTAAAAATTTTAAAAATGTATTTCAGCCTGTATGTTACCAATCTCTGGTCACATTACCTATTCTCAAGAGTCACTCTGTTGGGAGCATCTCAGCCCTTCTCTAAAGTCTTTCTAGCACACCACTCTTAGATGTGGGAATCTGTCTTCCCCTGTTGCCTCCCTCCTCTTGTGTCTTCTGATCACTCCACTTGGCCATTCTTTCATCCTTCCTAGTGACTTTTTCAGGTTCATCAGAACCTTACCCGATCTCAGGGATAGGAGTGTGATAAGGCAAATAACTCTAAATAAGTACCGTTCTGTACCTTTCTATGCAGATAAGCCTTTGTTAATTTTTGTTCAGTGTTATACCACTTATTTGAATGTCTGACAGGTTCTCCAGCAAGTGGATAACAAGTTTATTGCCTGCTTGATGAGCACTAAGACTGAAGAGAATGGCGAGGCAGGTAAGAATGGAGTTTAGCCTCAATGACTAACCAGCTGGTCTTCTTATAACCTTTTATTGATTATTTTTGGTATATAATACAGTTTAAGTGATTTGGATGGATTAGGGAAAGCCAATCTAAATTAAGAATATTATGAAGGCTGGGTGTAGTAGCTCACACCTGTAATCCCAACACTTTGGGATTGAGGCAGGTGGATTGCTTGAGGCCAGAGTTTAAGACCAGCCTGGGCAACATGGCAAAACCCTATCTCTACTAAAAATACAAAAATTGGCTGGGGCCAGGCGCGGTGGCTCAAGCCTGTAATCCCAGCACTTTGGGAGGACGAAGCGGGTGGATCACGAGGTCAAGAGATCGAGACCATCCTTGTCAACATGGTGAAGCCCTGTCTCTACTAAAAATACAAAAAATGAGCTGGGTATGGCGGTGCCTGCCTGTAATCCCAGCTACTCAGGAGGCTGAGGCAGGAGAATTGCTTGAACCCAGGAGGCGGAGGTTGCGGTGAGCCAAAATCGTGCCATTGCACTCCAGCCTGGGTAACAAGAGTGAAACTCCGTCTCAAAAAAAAAAAAATTGGCTGGGCATGGTGGCATGCACCTGTAGTCCCAGCTACTCAGGAGGCTAAGACACAAGAATTGCTTGAACTTGGGAGGCAGAGGATGCAGTGAGCCAAGATTGCGCTATTACACTCCAGCCTGGGCAGCAGACATTTATTTTTATGTTCATACACAGACATATGCTCAGGATACACATTAAACTATCAAGAATATTTACTTTGGGAGTGAAAATGCGAGTGCGCAAAGGAGATATTTCTACTTGTACTCTTAAATATTTTCTATTTTTTGACTTTTTAATAATATTTTCCTATTTTCCCTTTATTATAATAGAAAGTATATATAATGAACTCTGCTAGTTTTATCAAGATTTACGCAGAATCTCTTCGTGACCTGCTTTAATGAAACAATAATAGTTTGTAAATACATTAACTCATTCAACAAATATTGATTGCATGCCCATTCTATGCCAGGGACTGGACCAGGCCCTAGGGATACAATGACGGGAAAATACATATATGTGAGAGAAAAAAATAGTTACGCAAACATGAAATTTTAATTCTAGCTCTTGTAATGGAGGGAGAGATACAAGATGCTATAAGAACCTGCATTGGGAGATACGATTTCATCAGGGAGTTCAGGGAAGTGCTTCTTGTTATAATGAGGTGTGAAGTATAAATATGAATTAACTAAGTAAAGAAAGGAAGGAGTAACATACACAATTATGATTTCCTGTTCTCAGTGAGTGGAAACAGTGCCAGGGGAACTGGAGATGAGGCTAGAGAAGTAGATAGGAGTCAGATTTTAAATGCCAGCTGCAAGCTTTGCTTTGTCCCAACGTCATTGGAAACCATTAAAAGCTTTTTGTTTGTTTCTTTGTTTTTGGGGTGGTACATGTCGTATCACATTTGCATTTTAAAAAGATTGCTCTGGTTGCAGTGTGGAGAATACAGTAGGAGTGGGGTGGAGTTCCAGTTAACTGTAGAGTGACTCTTAAAAAAATATTGCAATATCTGAGACATGGTTAGGTGGGAGCAGGGAGAGCAGTGAATGTATTGGAAAGATATTTAGGAGACAGAGTCAGCAGGGCTTGGTGATAGATTGGGTATGGGAGGGTATGTAAAAGATGACTTCTGGTTTTCTGGCCTCCATAGCTGAGTGGATGATGTCACAGGACCTGGCTTGCAGGCAGAGCAGGCAGTGAGGATGAAAATAATGAGTTCAGTCTAAGTTCTCTTTGAAATGCTCCAGAATAGATGTCAAGAATGTGGTTGCATATTTCAGGTCTGGCCTAGGGAAGTGTTCTGACGTGGAGATATAAATTTGAGTCATCAGATGCAGAAAAGTGGTCACTGAAGCTCTGGATATAAATGTTATCACCTAGGGAAAAAAAAGTGAAGACTGAGGAGAGGTCTCGAATCTAGAATAATTCCAGCACATAAGAGCTGGGTAGAAGAGGATGAACCAATGAAAGAAATTGTGAAGGAACAGCTAGAGAAATAGGGAGAAAACAGAAGAATGTTGTGTTGGAAGGCCAAGACGTCATGCCAAATGCTGCCAAGACATTAAGTAAGATGAGGATCATCTGATTTTGTGACAGTGGAAACCAGGGATTTTAGCAAGTGAGAGCTGTTTCAGAGAATAGACGGGACAGGGTGTTTGTTGATGGTGCTAATGGAGGCTGCAATGAGATACTTAGAAATGTGCCTGTGACGTGGAAGAGAGGGACTAAAGAGGGGGAGGGTGAGAGAGGACTTGTTTTTTTAATGGAAGAATCTTGAGCATATTTACAAAGGATGACTGATAGGATAAGGTTCCTGAAAGGCCTGAGTGGCTGAGCCCTGAGCACCAGTGCAGGGCTGGTTCCAGCTTGGTAGCACCTGCAGGCAAGAACTTCTAAGGTTACAGAGCGTTTTCTCTATGTATTTCAAAATATTCCTTTTACCTTGTTTAGTAAATGTCATGGTAGATCAAAGGTAAATTAACCTAAAGTTCTGTTAGAATTATGAATATAGAATTTGTAAAGATCAAATTCCTGTAGTTTTACTATTTCTAGAGAAGTAATTTTTTGCCGGGCGCGGTGGCTCAAGCCTGTAATCCCAGCACTTTGGGAGGCCGAGGCGGGTGGATCACGAGGTCGAGAGATCGAGACCAACCTGGTCAACATGGTGAAACCCCGTCTCTACTAAAAATACAAAAAATTAACTGGGCATGGTGGCGCGTGCCTGTAATCTCAGCTACTCAGGAGGCTGAGGCAGGAGAATTGCCTGAACCCAGGAGGCGGAGGTTGCGGTGAGCCGAGATCGCGCCATTGCACTCCAGCCTGGGTAACAAGAGTGAAACTCCGTCTCAAAAAAAAAAAAAAAAAGAAAAGTAATTTTTTTGGAAAGTTTTTATTACCTAAAATTCTTTGTTGTTTTTGAGATGTCAGTATCTCTACTAACGGTGCTCAAGATGGATGTAGCCACAAAATCTGCAGTGTTGAAAGAAGCAAAATGGATCTGTTGAAATTTCTTTTTCTTTCCTTCTTTCTCTCTTCTCTTCTCTCGTCTCCTCTCCTCTCCTGTCTTCTCCTCTTCCTCCTCCTCCTCTTCCCTCTCCTCTCCCCCTCCCCCCTTCCCATCCCCTGCCCTTCTTCCCCTCCCCCTCCCCTCTCCCTCCCATCCCTTCCCCCTCCCCTCCTTTCCCCCTCCCCTTCCCTCTCCCATCGCCCCTCCCCTTCCCTCCCCCCTCTCCCCCTCCCTTCCTCTTCCTTCCCTCTCCCCTTCTTCTCCCCCTCCCCTCTTTCCCCTCCCCCTCCCCTTCCTCTCTCCCTCCCATCCCTTCCCCCTTTTCCCCCTCCCCTTCCCTCTGCCATCCCCCTTCCCTCTCCTCTCCCCACTCCCACTCTCTCCCCCTCCCCTCCTCCCCTTCCCTCTCCCCTCCCCTTCCCTCTCCCCTCCCCTCTCCCGTCCTCCCCTTCCCTCTCTCCTTCCCCCTCCCCTTCCTTTTCCCCTTCCCCCTCCCCTTCCCTCTTCCCTTCCCCGTCCCCTTCCCTCTCCCCTTTCCCCTCCCCTCCCCTTCCCTTTCTCTCTCCCCTCCCCCTCCCCTCCTCTCCCCCTCCCCTCCTCTCCCCCTCCCCTTTCCTCTCCCTCCCTCCTCCCCTTCCCCTCCCATCCCCTCCCTCTCCCCTCCTCTCCCCACTTCCCTCTCTCCTCCTCTTCCCTCTTTCCTCCCCCTCCCCCCTCCCCTCCCAGTTCTCTTCCCCTCTCCCTCCCTCTCCCCACTCCCCTCCTCTCTGTTGCCCAGGTGGGAGTATAGTGGCACAATCTCCACTCACGGCAATCTCCACCTCCTGGATTCAAGGGATTTTTCTGCCTAACTTTTATATTTTTAGTAGAGACAGGGTTTCACCATGTCAGACAGGCTGATCTTGAACTGCTGACCTCAAGTGATCTACCCTCCTCACCCTCCCAAAGTGTTGGAATTACAGGCATGAGCCACAGAGCCCAGCCAGAATCTGCGTTTTAATAAGATCCCAGGTGGTATGTGTGCCTATGAATGTTTGAGAAGCCCAGGTCTAAGGCAGGACAAACACCACCTGAGGGGAATCCAGGCATCGCCTGTTTCTGTGCAGCTGGGGAGATGAGAATGGTTTTTACATTTTGCAGTGGTTGGAAAAAAAGAAAAAGAAGATTTCTTGACACATTAAAATTATATGAAATTATTATTTCAGTGTCCATAAATAGAGTTTTATTGGAACACAGCTACAATATTTACATATTGTCTATGGCTGCTTTGTCTCAAAAAGAATTGTTGAATAGTCATGACAGAAATCGTGTGGCCCAAGAAGCCTAAAATATTTATGATCTGGCCCTTCAGAAAACATTCACCGGCTTCTGATCTAAGGTACATTAGAGGTACATTCTTCATAGGTTTCCAAGGAACTCGTACACCAAGATTAGCTGATTATAACAATGTGTGGTTTAATGGTCCTTTGTCATACTAAAGTTGAATCAATAAAGCAAAATCAGTATTTAAACATAGGAATTATATATTCAAGCTTCAAACTTGAGGAAATGCCACTTTGACTTTGTTTTTTTTTTTGTTTTTTTTTTGAGATGGAGTCTCGCCCTGTCCAGGCTGGAGTGCAGTGACACGATCTTGGCTCACTGCAACCTCCGCCTCCCAGGTTCAAGCAATTCTGCCTCAGCCTTCTGAGTAGCTGGGACTACAGGCACCTGCCACGATGCCCAGCTAATTTTTGTACTTTTAATAGAGACGGGGTTTTACTATGTTGGCTGGGATGGTGTTGATCTCTTGATCTCGTGATCCACCTGCCTTGGCCTCCCGACCCTGACTTTTCTTTTCTCTTTCTCTTTTTTTTTTTTCTGAGACAAGAGTCTTGCTTTGTCGCCCAGGCTGGAGTGCAATGGCGTAATCTCGGCTCACGGCAACCTCTGCCTCCCGGGTTCAAGTGATTCTCCTGCCTTAGCCTCCCGAGTAGCCAAGATTACAGGCATGTGCCACCACGCCCAGCTAATTTTTTGTATTTTTAATAGAGACTGGGTTTCACCATGTTGGCCAGGCTGGTCTTGAGCTCCTGATGTCAGGTGATGCGTCTGCCTTAGCCTCCCAAAATGCTAAAATTACAGGTGTGCGCCACCATGCCCACCCTGACTTTGTTTTCTAAATGAGATACTAATGAACTAAAGAGTTTCTTAGTTTACCTTTTGTTTTCTAAAAAATGAAATTATGGGGAAAATAATAAACTTATCAGATAAAAAATGAGTAATACTGGTTATCTCTGGGGAGGGAAACTAGGAGGGGTGGAGCAAGGGCATAAAGGGGACCTGATTATAGTTCCTTTTGTGCCTTTCAGAATTGGATCTGGGATCCAAACTTGTGGGATAAGTTTGCTTTCACTTTCCCCATAATTTCATGTTTTTGGAAATACAAAGTAAACTAAAAATTAGGAAATAAAAGGTAAACTTACGGGATAAGTCTGTTATCATTTTCCCCATAATTTCATTTTTTAGGAAATAAAGGTTCAATTGTTACAACTCAAAATGTTTTCTCTTATGCTGTTGTTAGATAGTTTGAATTAAGCCTTCTCTCTCCTCAACACACATGATGGTTGTCACGTTGTCATCTTGCTCTGAGAATCTGAAAGTCCACAATCCTTGCTCATCTAGGTGGGAACCTGCTCGTGCTGGTGGATCAGCATGCTGCCCATGAGCGTGTACGCCTGGAGCAGCTTATCAATGGTAAGGATCTTTGCAAGCAGAAGGAAATAGAGACTCCCAGCAGAATCGGTACACCTCAAAAAGCTTTTCTAACTGTGACTATTGTGAGGAAGCACGCTTTGTACTGTATGTTCAAAAATTAAGCCACAGTCTTCCAGTTTGACCTGTGTTATAACTGAAAGAATGTAGTAGTTCACTAATTCAAAAATGTGGGTCTTATTTATGTGGTCAGAGGCGTATTTGCCACACATTTATGATCAGCCCAGAGGTGCCGAGGACAGGCTGCTTACTCTGACATCCAGCACAAAGATCTGCCCCTCCATATGCCCAGTGATCTTGGCATGCCTTCCCATACCCCTTCAGGCAGAGACCACTGGCAGCTCAGAAGGCCCAGTATACTGTTTTGATTTTAAATTTTAGTTGGCTTTTGAATATACAGTATAATCAAATAGATTCAATTCTGAAAGACACAAAAGGGAATAATAATAAAGTCTCCTTTCTACCCTTCCCCCATCCCTCCTTGCTTCTCTTCCCCAGAGACAACCAACATCACTGGTTTTTAAATCTAGCTTTCCAAAGCAATATATGCTTTTTAATTTTTTTTTTCTACCCATTTTTTCATCATGAGACTGTCTTTGCCAAGTTGCAAAATACCAGGAAAGTCTTTACTCCTGTGGCCTATGAGTAATGTCAAAGAGTTAGGCAAGGACCTCAGGAGGTGCTTCATGGACTAGAAAGGCAATGATATTACTATTATTTTCACTTTTCCTTATAAAATGATGGCCTAAACGTTGGGAAAACAGTGTTAGAAAAACTTACTTCTACAGGCCCTGCACCATTTGTGAATAATACTAATTCTCTCCAGAGACTGGGAGACCCTGCTCAAGGAAAGGGACGCCTTCTGGAGCCATGAGATTGTGTGGTAAACCCACATATGTCCCTGGTAATCCACATTTTCACCTCTGTCATCAAAACCACGTTTATTAACTACAGGAACGTTGCATTGTTCATCTGAATGTAAGATGCAAGTCTTATATTTCTTCTTTTGGAAAATACTACCAAAATTGGTTAATAGGCTGAGTATTAGCTTGACTTTAAACATGGAAATCCAAAGTCTAAAACTGAACATTAAGCATTCTGCTATGCACTAGAATGATTATATCAAGGTTGTGCTGTATTTTTATCTGAATCTAGAAGACTTCCCTTCCTACTCTTAACGCATTCATCTTTCTGCCAATAGATTCCTACGAGAAGCAACAGGCACAGGGCTCTGGTCGGAAGAAATTACTGTCTTCTACTCTAATTCCTCCACTAGAGATAACAGTGACAGAGGAACAAAGGAGACTCTTACGGTTCGTACCACTGTAAGAATGTGATGTTGACATTGGTATTGGTTCTCACAATAATTCTGTGAGGAGTAAGCGTAACTATTGTTCCGTTTTTCAGATGAGACCAAGAGAGGTTACAAGACTTGTCTAAGGTCATAGCAGTTATTAAGTAGTGGAGCAGGCACTCAAAGACTGGTCATCTAACTCCACAGGCTGGTTTTTTCCCTTTTTTAAAATATGTGTTTTTTCTGCATCTAATCCATTAAAATAATTAATTAATTGAGACAAGGTCTTGCTCTGTTGTCCAGGCTGGAGTGCAGTGGTGCGATCTCTGCTCACTGCAACCTCCACCTTCCAGGCTCAAGCAGTCCTCCTACTTCAGCCTCCCAAGTAGCTGGAACTACAGGTGGGCACCACCATGATGGGCTAATTTTTGTAATTTTTTGGTAGAGGTGGGGTTTCACCATGTTGCCCAGGCTGGTCTTGAACTCCTAGACTCCAGCAGTCCTCCTGCTTTTGCCTCCCAAAGTGCTGGGATTACAGGCATGAGCCACTGCACGCAGCCTCTTCTTTCCACTGTGTCCCAGCTCGTGAGTATAGGATAGAGTTTCCCTGGTAATTTTTTCCAGCAGTTGGCTTAGAACACTATTCTCATTTCTTGGAACAGTCTGTGTTTATGCCATGCTTTGTGAAAGCAAAGTTTCTGCAGTAATTGCTCCCATTCTGCTTTGCCTTGGTGCATTCTAGACTCTTAGTTTTCATTCTCATAATCATAATGGGAAGAAAGTAAAACAGTGGGATGCAAGGAAGGGGCAAATCATATAGTGAGTCACAGGATAGGACATTTTGCCTCTTCTGAGCGGCACAAATTATTGAAAATGAAAAAGAGAAGTTTCTCCTAATGTATTTCAAGTTTGGGAATATGATACTGCCAGCACATCTTTTTTCCCTGTGACATAATTTATATTAGAGGCAGATCTGTTTACTTATATCCTGTTAATCAGGACTTCTCAGTTCCTTAGTTGTTAATTACCTCCCTCCTTTAATGCTGATCCAAATCACTCTCAGACCTTTTCTTTGTGCCAGACTCTCTTAAGTGCCAGCAGCCAGAAGTTAGCAGTTCCTCAATGAAGAAAACACACTTAGAAACAAGATTTAGAAACACATTGATCCTCAATGGAAAAGAGAAAAACAATAAAGGTTACTATAATCCAAAAAGGAAATTTGATAATAAAAAATCCCAAACAAACACACATAAGTATGAGAAAAACAATACAATTTTTAAGCCCAGTGGCAGCTTTTGAAAAACTATCAGGTAGTATTTAGAACCAGTACTGAAATGTGAATAAAGTAGCCCATTTTTTTTTTTTTTTTTTTTTTTTTTTACATTTGAGGTTATCTCTTTAGGTGTTACCACAAAAATCTGGAAGATCTGGGCCTTGAATTTGTATTTCCAGACACTAGTGATTCTCTGGTCCTTGTGGGAAAAGTACCACTCTGTTTTGTGGAAAGAGAAGCCAATGAACTTCGGAGAGGAAGATCTACTGTGACCAAGAGTATGGTGGAGGTAAGATACAGCTGCAGATGTTAAAATTGCTGAGTGATGGTAACCTTGTATTTTGTCTGTAGATTCTCTGAATTCATCTCTTCTTCAACAAGCATTCATGGTATTTACCTGCTGTGTGCCAGGAGCTAGAAATTCAGAGATGAATTAGCTCAAAATAAGGAAGAAAGGCATTTAAAGAATTACAGTGAACTTTGGCTAGTAGAGGTGTGTGTTTTACTTTCTTCCCAGTACAATTACGGTAATGAAAACTAAGAGTCTAGAATGCATCCAGGTAGTTTTTCAGAAGTGTTACGGAAACAGGATGACTCCCATGCCTGGGATGGTGGAGTCAATGAAACTGTCACAGAAAAGCTGTTTTCTTAAGACAAGTTTTTACTTTTGAGAGACCAGGTCTCACTCTGTTGCCCAAGCTGGAGTGCAGTGCAGTCATACAACACTGTAGTCTTGATCTCCTGCGCACAAGCGATCTTCCCACCTAAGCCTCCCAAGTAACTCAGACTATAGGCACGTACCACCACGCCTGGCTAATTTTTTCCTTTTTTTTTTTTTTTTTTTTTTGTGTGTAGAGATGGGGTCTTGCTGTGTTGCCTGGGCTGAACTCCTGGACTCAAGCAATCCCCCTGCATTGGTTTCCCAAAGGCCTGGCATAACAGGCATGAGCCACTGCGCACAGCAAGAAAAGTCTTTTAGAATAGTGGGTAACTGCCAAGTACAGAAGAGGGGAGAAGGGCATTCTAGACAGAGGAACGCATATCAGAGACTTGAAGCAGATCCTAAACTATCAACAGATATGTCTCAGATTGAGATCTACTGTTGACCCTTGGACATCTTGGGTCTGAACTGCACATGTACACTTATATGCAGATTTTCTTCCACCTCTGCCACTCCTAAGACAGTAAGACCAACCCTTCCTCTTCCTCCTTCTTAGCCTATTCAATGTGAAAATGATGAGCATAAAGATCTTTATCTTTTTTTTTTTTTAAGACGGGTTTCACCATGTTGGTCATGCTGGTCTTGAACTCCCGACCTCAGGTGATCTGCCCCCCTTGGCCTCCAAAATGCTTGGATTACAGGCATGAGCCACCACTCCCGGCCCTGTGATGATTCATTTCTACTTAATGAATAATAAATATATTTTCTTTTCCTTACGATTTTCTTTTTTTCTTTCTTTTTTTTTTTTTTTTTTTTTTTTGAGACGGAGTTTCGCTCTTGTTACCCAGGCTGGAGTGCAATGGTGTGATCTTGGCTCACCGCAACCTCCGCCTCCTGGGCTCAGGCAATTCTCCTGCCTCAGCCTCCTGAATAGCTGGGATTACAGGCACACGCCACCATGCCCAGCTAATTTTTTATATTTTTAGTAGAGACAGGGTTTCACTATGTTGACCAGGATGGTCTCGATCTCTTGACCTCGTGATCCACCCGCCTCGGCCTCCCAAAGTGCTGGGATTACAGGCTTGAGCCACCGCGCCCAGCTTCTTACGATTTTCTTAACATTTTCTCTCTCTCTCTCTCTTTCTCTCTCTCTCTTTCTTTCTTTGCTTTTTTTTTTTTTTTTTTTTTTTGCCCAGACTGGAGTGCAGTGGTGCAATCTCGGCTCACTGCAACCTCCACCTCCCCAGTTCAAGCAATTCTCCTGCCTCAGCCTCCTGAGTAGCTGGGATTACAGGTGCACACCACCATGCCCTGCTAAGTTTTGTATTTTTAGTAGAGACACAGTCTCACCATGTTGGCCAAGCTAGTCTTGAACTCCTGACCTCAAATGATCCACCTGTCTTGACCTCCTAAAGTGCTGGGATTATAGATGTGAGCCACTATGCCTGGCCAATGTTTTCTTTTCTCTAGCTTACTTTATTGTAAGAATACAGTGTATAATATGTACAACACACAAAATATGTGTTAATCAGTTGTTAATGTTATTGGTAAGGTTTCTGGTCAATGGTAGGCTATTGGTAGTTAAGACTTGAGGAAATCAGGCCAGGTGTAGTGGCTCATGCCTGTAATCTCAGCATTTTGGGAGGCTGAGGCAGGCAGATCATTTGAGGTCAGGAGCTCGAGACCAGCCTGGCTAACATGGTGAGACCCCTGTCTCTACTAAAAATACAAAAAATTAGCCGGGCATGGTGGTGTGTACCTGTAATCCCAGCTACTTGGGAGGCTAAGGCATGAAAATTGCTACAACCTCTGGAGGCAGAGGCTGTAGTGATCCAAGATCGTGCCACTGCACTCCAGCCTGAGCGACAGAGTGAGACTCCATCTCAAAAAAAAAAAAAAAAGATTTGGGGAAATCAGAAGTTATACTTGGATCTTTGACTGGATGGGGGTCAGCTAGATGGGTTGTCAGGGTCAAATCATAAAGGAATTTAGCTTATTCTGCTAAGTATTTTGCATTTCATCTTATAGGCAGCCAATGAAGAATTTTAAGCAGGAGAGTAAGGTACATTTTAGATGGCATTCCAAATATGATTACTTTACATATATGTTTTGGGGTAAAGGTTTGAAAAGCTGCTGCTTAAATGTGGCATTGGAGGTGTTGGAGGGAACCATTACTTTTTATTTTGATTATGTTTCTTTTTTTTTACAGCAAATATCATTTTGTCTTTATTGCCTTTATCTTCTCCTTTCCTGTTTTCTATTATAGTTTTCTTTATTTCTCTTTTCTCTCTCTCTCTCTCTCTCTCTCTCTCTCTCTATATATATATATATATATATATATATATATATATATATTTTCCATTTGTATCCTTTTAGAAATTAGCCTTAAATTTTAGCATGCATGCTTATCAAAGTTTAAAAGTAATTCATTTATCTATCCTCTTCCTAACTATACCAAAATCTTACAAACCCTTCATCTCACATCACCCTCCTCCCATCTTCCATGTAGCTGTCTAGTACTTTAATTCCATCTTGTTTTTAATCCCCTGGTGGTCAATTATTTCATAGTCAATCTTTATTTAGATTAAACAAAGTGTTCACCAGAGTCTTTGTTCACCATTGCCTCTTGCATCCTACTTATTCTGTGTTCTTTTGTATTCTGTTTTATTGTTTTTAACTTAAGTAAATCTCTTAAGAGATATTTTATCCACAAACAAATCTTGAGACAAAAAAAAATACAAAAAAATAAAAATAAACAGAAGTTATCTTATTAAGAGTCCATGGGCCAGGCACTGTGGCTCCCAGCGCTTTGGGAGTCCGAGGCAGGTGGATCACCGGAGGTCAGGAGTTTGAGATCAGCCTGGCCAACATGGTGAATCTCTGTCTCTACCAAAAATACAAAAATTAGCCAGGCATGGTGGCCGCACTTGTAATCTCAGCTACTCGGGAGGCTGAGGCAGAAGAATTGCTTGAACCTGAGAGGCGGAGGTTGCAATGAGCCGAGATCACATCATTGCACTCCAGCCTGGGTGATAAGAGTAAAACTCTGTCTCAAAAAAAAAAAAAGTTCATGAATGATAAGCTGTCTTTTAAAATGTCTTTATTTTGTCTTCATACATAACATGATTATTTAGCTAAAAACAGAATTTCACATTGCCAGTTATCCCCTTGCATTTTGAAAATATTCTACTACTTTTGACTTTCTATTTTATTTATTTATTATTGTTATTATTATATATTTTTTGAGATAGAGTCTCACTCTGTTGTCCAGGCTGGAGTGCTGTGGGGTGACCTCGGCTCATTGCAGCCTCAGCCTCCCAGGTTCAACTGATTCTCCTGCCTAAGCCTACCAAGTAGCTGGGATGATAAGTGCTTACACAGCTTATTTTTTTTATCTTTAGTGGAGACAGGGTTTCACCAGTTGGCCAGGCTGATCTTGGACTCCTGACCTTAGGTGATCTGCCTGCCGCAGCCTCCCAAAGTTCTGGGATTATAGGTGTGAGCCACTGTGCTCAGCCCGACTTTCTGTTTTAGCTATTGAAGAAGTCCTTTGTCAATGCAGTTATTACTCTGTAGGTCATCTGATTTTCCCTCCAGTTGCTTTTAAGATGTTCACTTTATCTTTGGTGTTCCGTAATTTCCCTATGATATATCTTTGTGTAGATTTATTTTCATTTCCTTCTGGAGATTCACTAGCCTTCTTTAGTTTAGAAAGTGTGCAGTCATTATCAACTCTAACGTCATTTCTTCCCCATTCTCTCTCTCGTCTCTTGGAAATTTTGCCAGATATTTAATAGGCCTTATCTTTCTACTCTCCATGCCTCTTCAGCGGACTTCCGTATTTTCCATTGCTTTCTCTCTCTGTGATACATTCTGGGAAATCTCCTCACTTATCTTCCGGTGACCTAAAGTATCTCTTCATCTTCTGTTTAATTATATGTTCAGCTTATCCACTGAGCTTTTTATTTCAATGACTATATTTTTTTATTTCCAGAAGTTGTTTTCGTTTTTTTTTTTGTTTTTTTTTTTTTTTTTTTTTTTTTGTTTTCAAATCTCCCTGTTCCTTTTTCATGGTGTCCTGCTTTTTTCATCATTGTTTCTACTCCTTTGTCTCTAGCTTTCTTTATTTGGAGCACAGACACATCCACATCAACCCTGTGTAGAAGTCTGAAGTGCTTTAGCAACATCTAAAATAGTAATATCTAAAATTAGAAGACAGAAATAGTGGATAAATTGGAGGATAGATTGATAACAGGAAGCTTTGAGTCAGGGAGAGCAGCTGAGGGCTTATTTCAGTGGTTCAGGTAAGAGAAGATGAGGATTGGACTGAGTCAGTAGCAGAGGGAGTAGAGAGGATATTTGAGACAGAATTTGAGAGGCAGAAGCTAGAGGACTTGGTGAGCAATCGAATGTGAAAGGAATGAACGAGAAAAGAGAAGTAACAGTGAGTCTGAGGGTTGTGGCTTGGGCAGCTGGAAGGATGGTGGTGCCATTGACAGAGAAGGGACCCAGATGAGGAAGAACAAACCTGTCTGGGGGTTCCATCATGAAGCTGGGTTTGGACACAGTGAATGGGCCTTCAGGTGGAATGCCCAGTGGATAGGCAGACTTAAACGATCTAGTAGTTGGCAAAGAAATCTGGGCTGTACCTATCTATCTTAGAGTTAACAGCGTATATATTTTGATAGTATCAGAAGCTGAAGAAGGGCCTTGATGAAGCGAGATTGTCCAGGGAGAATATGGAGAGCGAAAAGGAACAGAGAAAAGGGTGGAGCCTGTGGAACATCAGCATCTAGGGTGCATATGTTTTGGCAAAGGTCTGGAAAGCTCTGCTGAAAAGAGGAAGTTCTAAGGATGGCTGAAAATATTTGGTTGGAGAGGAAGGAGGAAAACCAGGAAAAAGTAATATTGCCAAAACCAAGAAAAGTTTTAAACAAGAAGGGAATGGTCAATAATGGCTATGAAGTCGAGCCTGAAATGTTGGACTTGGCTGTCATGAGGACATTGATTGTCTTGTGGAATCATTTCCTGGGGATGAGGTGGGGCAGAAGATAGAGTGTAGTGAGTCAGGAGTGCATGAAGCGGGAGGAAGTGAAGCTAAGTAGATAGCTCTTTCTAGAACTTTGGCTGCACACAGAAAAAGAGAGATGGGTTGATAGCTAAAGGTTAGAGGTGTGGGAAGTGTGGTGGGACTCAAGGCTGAGGAGGGCTTTTGTTTGCTTTATGACAAAAAAGACCTAAGCACGTTCGTAGGCCAAGGGTGAAACATTTGAGAGGAAGAGAGCTGCCAGTCAACTCTTGGATCATCTTGGCTTTGCCCTTTCCAGAATCGCTTTTGGATCAGACAGACTTTGCTCTGCTTCCAGCGAAGCTCTTTCCTCCCCACAGATGTACTTTCTCTAAGACTCCTGCTCCAAATTGTCCTAAATCCAAAAGATAGGATCTGTTAGAGTCTTTTATTGTAATTCAATCCCTAAATATGTAACCAGAAAATTACAAGAAAAACTTTTCCTGAAGGAACTTCAAAGACTACTGTTAAGGAGTTTACTTCCAATGGAAACAAACCTTCTGGTTTCAGAAAATCTTGATTATGCTATGTCAGGTTGATCAGGAAAGATTTTGTATGATTCTGGAAGAAGCTGGAACAGTTTTGGTGTTTTGAGGAGGTAGCTACTTGAATCCTAGCAGTTGAAAGATCAATAATACATCTTTCTATAAAGCTCTGTCTTCTAGCCTGATGAATGAGGCTTTAAAAATATTAAATTGGCTGGGCGCGGTGGCTCACGCCTGTAATCCCAGCACTTTGGGAGGCCGAGGCGGGTGAATCACGAGGTCAAGAGATCGAGACCATCCTGGTCAACATGGTGAAACCCCGTCTCTACTAAAATACAAAAAATTAGCTGGGCATGGTGGCGTGTGCCTGTAATCCCAGCTACTCAGGAGGCTGAGGCAGGAGTATTGCCTGAACCCAGGAGGCGGAGGTTGCGGTGAGCCGAGATCACGCCATTGCACTCCAGCCTGGGTAACAAGAGCGAAACTCTGTCTCAAAAAAAAAAAAAAAAAAAAAAATATATATATATATATATAAAATTAGGTCAGGAGTGGTGGCTCATGCCTGTAATCTCAGGACTTTGGGAGGCCGAGGCAGACTGATCATTTGAGTTCAGGAGTTTGAGACCAGCCTGGCCAACATAGTGAAACTCCGTCTCTACTAAAAAATATAAAAATTAGTCAGGCATGGTAGGAGGTACCTGTAATCCCAGCTACTCAGGAGTATGAGGCAGAATTACTTGAATCTAGGAGGTGGAGGTTGCAGTGAGGCAAGATTGTGCCATTGCACTCCAGCCTGGGCAACAGGGCAAGACTCCGTCTCAAAAGATTAAAAATAATAAATAAATAAATAAAATAAGAATATTAAATTATCCAGCATTAAATGATGTAAAATGGATTGAGATGAGTCCCATCTCCCCTTCACTAGGCTTACAAACGGATGTTTTACCATCTCAGATACACAAACACAAGAGAGAATAGCAGAGCAGTTAGGTTTGCTCTCCAGCCACACTAAACTTTGTTAGTGGATTGAGTATTATGAGAACATCTTTCTGTTTAGGTTTGTTTGGGAAAATGTGGTTTTTAAATTATAGATAATATAGTATATACTACCTAGTTCTTGGTAACTGTGCTCATTTATAGGCATGGCAGACTAGAGTATAGATGAAGGAGAGAAGAGAATTTCCTGAGTCTGATTTTAAAAGAAAATGTACTCGTAGCTTGCCAGACCTTTGCCAAAACATATGCACCTTAGATGCTGATGTTCCACAGGCTCCACTCTTTTCTCTGTTCCTTTTCGCTCTCCATATTCTCCCTGGACAATCTCGCCTCATCAAGGCCCTTCTTCAGCTTCTGATACTATCAAAATATATACGCTGTTAACTCTAAGATAGATAGGTACAGCCCAGATTTCTTTGCCAACTACTAGATCGTTTAAGTCTGCCTATCCACTGGGCATTCCACCTGAAGGCCCATTTACTGTGTCCAAACCCAGCTTCATGATGGAACCCCCAGACAGGTTTGTTCTTCCTCATCTGGGTCCCTTCTCTGTCAATGGCACCACCATCCTTCCAGCTGCCCAAGCTACAAGAAAATTGCATGTTGTAATCTTAGGAGGCAGATTTACATGTAGGCATTTCCAGAGTAAAGAAATATTTTCTTATAAAGAAATCATTAAATGTGCAACAGGTTTTTTTCTTTTTACCTCCAGAGGTTAAACAAATTGGTAGCGTGAAATAGTGTCTGCTTTAAATTTCTTTAAAGTTCTTTTGTAAAAATTAATATCCACAGGGATATAACTGTTAAAAAGTTTATCCCAGGGACAGAGACATGCAAGGGAGAAGAAATTCCTCAACAAAATGCCTCAGAAAATAAACTTTCTGACCTGAATGGAATTGTCCTCAAAAAGCCCGTGGGAACTAAAGTGACTGTTTACTTATGTTTATGATATTTAAGTAAGTGTTATACTGAGCAGTGGTTGTATTGAAGGTTGTTGTGTATTTATTCTCAGTTTGTGTGTAATATTACACTTGTTCTGGCTAAGATTATACACACAAACAGACAGCCTGTTAGTGAGAAGCCTTCCTGATGTTTTGAATTGGTTGAATCATCAGGGCTACTCTCACTAGCTACATAACCTCATTAGTTGAGAAGCCATCTCTGGAGGAAGTCTCAGTAGCTAAATGTATTCTATGTTCAATAAGAGTTCCATTCAGTTGCTTGGTTTTTTTTTTTCATATTCAGAGTGCTTTACAACAAATGAATTTGTACCCAAATGCTATATTGCTGGAACTCTTTCCTTCAGGAGGCATGATGTAAAGAAGGAAATTGAGATATTTTGTAAACTATCAAAGGGAAGTAAAACGTTAACAGTAGATTAAAGCCTATTTTCCTTTTGCTTTGTAGGAACTTATCCGAGAACAAGTGGAGGTAAGCATTTCTCTTATTTGGGGGTTTCATGCAGAAGTGCCACACATAAAAGGCTTCATTGCCCCATTTCTTTTTCCTATTAACAATGTGTTTATGCATTAGCTACTCCAGACCACAGGAGGCATCCAAGGGCTACTGCCACTGACTGTCCAGAAGGTGCTGGCATCCCAGGCCTGCCATGGTAAGCCCTTTAATATAGCGGTGATCGAGCACCTCTACATGCAGAGCCCTGGCAGGGGTGCCGGGATTACGAAAGAAGCAGAAGGCACATTTCCCACTTGACTCTGAGAATACAGTTTAGATCAAGAAACTGAATATACATTTTAAAATCACTTTTACAAAAACAAAATCCCAGCACACAAATTTTACTATAATGCTTCCTGACCTATATGAATGGAGGAATTACTTCTAGAGGAGGTGCATTTTGAGTTGAATTTTGAATGAGCTGAGGAACATGGATTCACATCATGGAAGGGGAAATTCACTGCAGGGAGAGGAAACAGCCTGTACAGAGACACAGAACAGCAACAAGTTGGTTATATGAGAAGCAGCAAAGAGTATCAAGAAACTAGGCAGGTAAGAAAGAACAGAAGCCTAGAAGGTCACAGCAAAACTTTTGGATTTGATACAGAAGGCATTAGAATTAGCAAGCGTTCTTCTTTTTTTTTTTTTTTTTTCCAACTTTTATTTTAGGTTCAAGGGGTACACGTGCACTTTGTTGCGTGGGTGAATTGCGTGTTGCAGGAGTTTGGTGTACAGATTATTTTGTTACCCAGGTAATGAGCATAGTACCCAATAGGTAGTTTTTCCATCCTTACCTCCTCCCACCCTCCACCCTCAAGTAAGCCTAGGTGTCTGTTATTCCTTCTTTGTGTCCGATATGTATTCAGTGTTGAGCTCCCACTTGTAAGTAAGAACATAGAGTATTTGGTTTTCTAATTCACTTAGGATCATGGCCTCCAGCTCTGTCTGTTTTTGCAAAGGACATGACATGATCTCGTTCTTTTTTATGGCTGTATAGTATTACATGGTGTATATGTACCACATTTTCTTTATCCAGTCCTCCACTGATGGGCATTTAGGTTGATTCCATGTCTTTGCTATTATAAATACTGCTGCAGTGAGTATAACACATACATGTGTCTTTATGGTAGAATGATTTCTATTTCTTTGGGCATGTTCCTAGTAACGGGATTGCTGGGTTGAATGGCAGTTTGTTTTAAGCTCTTTAAGAAATCTCTAAACTGTTTCCACTGTGGCTGAACAGTGGAAATAATTTATATTTCTCACCAACAGCGTATAAGTGTTCCATTTTCTCTGCAGCCTTGCCAGCATCTGTTATTTTTTTACTTTTTAACAGTAGCCATTCTGACTGGTATGAGATGGTATCTCACTGTGATTTTGATTTGCATTTCTCTGATGATTAGTGATGCTGAGCATTTTTTATAGGCTTGTTGGCCATGTGTATGTCTTCTTTTGAGAAGTGTATGTTCATGTCCTTTGCCCATTTTTTTTAATAGGGTGTTTTGGTTTTTGCTTGTTGACTTATTTGAGTTCTTATAGATTCTGGGTATTAGGCCTCTGTTGGATGCAGTTTGCAAATATTTTCTCCCATTCTGTAAGTTGTCCCTTTATTCTGTTGACAGTTTATTTTGCTGTGGAGAAGCTCTTTAGTTTAAGTCTCAGTTGTCAATTTTCGTTTTTGTTGCAATTGCTTTTACAGTTTTTCTCATGAAATCTTTGCCAAGGCCTGTGTCCAGAATGGTATTTCTGAGGTTTTCTTCTAGGATTTTTATAAAAAGATGGAATGCTTCAGGAATTTGCATGTCATCCTTGTTCAGGAACCATACTAATCGTCTCTGTATCATTCCAATTTTATTATATGTGTTGCCAAAGCAAACACCATTGAGGATTCTTGAGCAGGGTAATATGATACAATATAGAAAATGGGGATTTGGGTGTGTGATACACACCTGTAATCCCAGCTATTCAGGAGGCTGAGGCAGGAGGGTCTAGGAGTTTGAGACCAGCTAGGGCGACACAGTGAGACTCTGTCTCATAAATGAGTGAATGAATAAATAAAAGAATCAAAGAAAATGGTTTTAGAGGAATATACTTCAGAGGTCATGACAGTTACAGAATCCCCTGCAGCTATCATTGTGGTCAGCACAATGGGGTCTCCAACCCAGTGATCCCCTCCCCATTTTATCCTTCTCCATCAGCCTTCTCTCTTCACCTCCTATCTTGCCCAGCTTTATAACCACACTCCAACATTAGTCTGTCTCCTGCAAAAATCCTTAAGTCTTTTCCCTTTCATCCTATCATTACTCCTTACATATACTCGAACATAGCTTGACTCTGCCCCACCCAAAATCTCATTTTGAATTATAATCCTCATAATCCTCATGTGTCAAGGGTGGGACTAGGTAGAGGTGACTGGATCATGGGGGCAGTTTCCCCCATGCTGTTCTCATGATAGCGAGTGAGTCTCATGAGAGCTGATGGTTTTATAAGCATCTGGCACTTGCTGCTCTGTGAGGAAGGTGCCTGCTTCTCCTTTGCCTTCCACCATGACTACAAGTTTTCTGAGGCCTCCCTAGCCATGCGGAAGTGTGAGTCATTTAAACGGTCTTTCTGTTATAAATTACCCAGTCTTGTACATTTCTTCATAGCAGGTTGAGAACAGACTAATACTCCTCTATCACCAAATTTCATCATTGCCACTTTCAAAATGTGTCTTAAATGCATCTGATTCAGTCTGTCTCCTCCCTCATTCTTGCCACTGTTGAGTCCTCTTACTTATTTCCTCACCTCCACTCTTGACTCCCTTTCAAGCCACTCTTCTCTTAGCACCCAGAGGAATGTTTTTGAAATATCCCTCTGAGCATGTTGTTCTTCTAACTAAAATGTGTCAGTGATGACCCATTGCTCTTGGGATAGAAATGTAATTTTTTGCTGTGGCCCACAAGGGTCTTTGTGGTTTGGCCCCTGCCTGCCTCACCAGCATCACGTCACATCACTCTCCACTTTGTTCTTTACATCCTGGCCTGCTTTTTTGGTCTTATACTTCCTGTAGGCTAAACATCTGTCAGCCTCGGGGCCTCTGCACTGGGCTTTTCCTCTATGTGAAACACTTTTCTCTCCTTTAATTAGCCATGTCTTTCCTAACCTAAGGCCTCAGCCTAAATACCATTTTGCCAGGAAAGCCTTCCTTGAGCTCCTAAACTAGGTTTGGTCTTCCTATTATATATTTATATCCCATATTTTATAGTACTTACATTTATCATTTAAATTATTGTGTAATTATCTGCTTCATGTTTGTCTCCCCTATTAGAGCTATTAGATCATAAGCGCCATGAGGGTGGAAATGATCTGTCTAATTAACTGCCTGGGGAAGCTCCCAATACAAAGTATATACTTAATAAACATTTGTTGACTGAGTAAATTATGCATAAAGGCAGGTTATAACAATATGAGTTTAGATTAGGAAGATTATTGTGGAAATTAGAAAAAAGAAGCAAATAGGCCGGGCACGGTGGCTCAAGCCTGTAATCCCAGCACTTTGGGAGGACGAGGCGGGTAGATCACGAGGTCAAGAGATCGAGACCATCCTGGTCAACGTGGTGAAACCCTGTCTCTACTAAAAATACAAAAAAGTAGCTGGGCATGGTGGCACATGCCTGTAATCCGAGCTACTCAGGAGGCTGAGGCAGGAGAATTGCCTGAACCCAGGAGGCGGAGGTTGCGGTGAGCCGAGATTGTGCCATTGCACTCCAGCCTGGGTAACAAGAGCAAAACTCCATCTCAAAAAAAAAGAAGCAGCAAATAAAGTGAATATTGTAAGGAAACAATCAGAGAGATTGCTATTGGATGATCCATGGAAAAAGATAATCTCACTTCACGAACCTGTCAGGAGTAGGCAAAAATACTCCTCTTGCCTCTTGGAGAAAAACCCTGAAAGCAAGATCCTATCAAGTTAAGGAATGCCTCCTACAGAGATTAGAAAGACAAATACTCCATAAGAAAAAGCTGAGAGACAGAAGGTCAGTCCTGAAGCCTGAGTTTCATCCATGGGCATAAGCACCAATTTTAAGCAGGATTAAAGCCTCATTAAAGAAGCCTAAGAAATATGTTACTTTTTCCAGATATTTGGCACTGACCCAAGGTCAGCACTGGTTTCCCACCATATACACTATAACCTTCTTGTTTTTCTCTTTCATTTAGGGGCCGTTAAGTTTAATGATGGCCTGAGCTTAGAGGAGAGTTGCCGCCTTATTGAAGCTCTGTCCTTGTGCCAGCTGCCATTCCAGTGTGCTCACGGGAGACCTTCTATGTTGCCATTAGCTGACATAGACCACTTGGAGCAGGAAAAACAGGTACGTTAATGACTAATAGGAGCAGGAGGGAGCAAAGTTTATCTTCTCTTTCTTTTCTGGCTTTTACTATCCAGCTGTAATCTATCTTAATCCTTTCCAAAATAGGGGAGTTTTGCAAAATCTGCATTGGAAGTTTCACATAAAGCCTCACCTATTTCATCTTCCAGCTCAAATCCAAATGGACCTTAGACTGAACTGTTAGGTAACCCACATAATGGCTTTGTATTTTAAAACTTAACACGTGTACAGATTTACATATCCTGAATACCTGTGGCCTGCTGGCTCTAGGTGTGATAAGATGCAGTTCTCCCTGAAGCTACTGAAAGTTGGTAGAAGCACAGCAAATTCACTGTTGGCATGATATAGCCTCAACATCTGGTTTCTCGATAGTACCTGCTGGAAATGGTGATCTGTGACTAGAGCTGGCCATCCCCAAGGATCTCAAGTTATGGTTTGAGGATTATCAGGCAGGGACCCAAGCCTGGGGAATCTCTACATTATGCTTTGGCCCTGATTACCCAGCAGCCTGCAAACTACGATGTGGATAATGCAGTAAAGGCACAGAGCGGCTTCAATTAAGAACTTCTGTCCTAGGCCGGGCGCGGTGGCTCAAGCACTTTGGGAGGCCGAGGCGGGTGGATCACGAGGTCAAGAGATCGAGACCAACATGGTCAACATGGTGAAACCCCGTCTCTACTAAAAATACAAAAAATTAGCTGGGCATGGTGGCGTGTGCCTGTAATCCCAGCTACTCAGGAGGCTGAGGCAGGAGAATTGCCTGAACCCAGGAGGCGGAGGTTGCGGTGAGCCGAGATCGCACCATTGCACTCCAGCCTGGGTAACAAGAGCGAAACTCCATCTCAAAAAAAAAAAAAAAGAAAAAGAAGAACTTCTGTCCTTGTTACAGTCTTCAATGAAGGGGAATATGGAGAGCATAACGGGAATGCCCCTGTTGCTGCTTTCCAAAATCTTTTCTTTTGCTAACCTTTCCCTGCGAAGGAATATAAAATGTTTTCTTGCATGGAGATTTCAGGTATTGATGTCTTCTGACTCAACTAGTTGATTTTACTTCATTAAAACCTCTTTGTTTCACAAAGAAAACTGTGAGGAAAGTTTTGTCCCCATTGTTGAAGAGCTGCCATTGATCCTTAAAAAAGTCTATAATCTCTATTGAATCTAGAAGTTAAAAATCTAAATGGATTATAACAGCATACTTTGGAAAGATTTGTGTGCTACCTAGATTTTCATCCTGCTAATTGAAGTTATTCTTTCTTCCCATAGATTAAACCGAATCTCGCTAAACTTCGCAAAATGGCCCAGGCCTGGCGTCTCTTTGGAAAAGCAGAGTGTGATACAAGGCAGAGCTTGCAGCAATCCACGGCTCCCTGTGAGCCACCATGAGAACAGAATCACTAGTCTAAAAGGAACAAAGGGATGTTCACTGTATGCCTCTTAGCAGAGAGCAGCAGCAGCAGGTACCGGCACAGCCCTGACTGAATCAGCCCAGTGTCCCTGAGCAGCTTAGACAGCAGGGCTCTTTGTATCAGTCTTTCTTGAGCAGATGATTCCTCTAGTTGAGTAGCCAGATGGAATTCAAGCCTAAAGACAGCTCATTCATTTGCATCTGTGGACACAAGAGGTTACCATATAATGTCTACCTTTTGCTGCTTATTTAATGATAAAATTTAATGACTGATCGGTTGCTTGTTGTTTGAAGGTTGTGATTTTTGTTTTCATATAGTTTTTTTCTCAAGCTTCACATTTGCGTGTATCTAATTCAGCTGATGCTCAAGTCCAAGGGGATAGTCTGCCTTCCCAGGCTGCCCCCAGGGTGTCTCCGTCTCTTCCCTCTTTTCCCTTCAGTCTTCTTCACTTCCCTGTGCTGCTGCTTCCTGTGCTACATCTCAGGCTTAAACAGTTTCTCTACTTTCAGTGAAAACATTCCCTGAGGTCTTTCAGCAGGCCTCTAGTTACTTTAGGGATTAAAAACTATTGATTAAAAGAAGGAAAAGGGGTCAGGCACAGTGGCTCATGCCTGTAATGCTAGCACTTTACAAGAGGCTGAGGTGGTAGGATCACCTGAGGTCAGGAGTTTAAGACCAGCCTGGCCAACGTGGTGAAACCCCGTATCTACTTAAATAAATAAATAGACAGATAAATAGATAGATAGATGGACAAGGATAGAACGGTGAAAATTTAAAGTCCTGTTCCTGGTTTTTTGTTTTGTTTTGTTTTCTTTAAAAACTCAGAGACTGGGCCGGGCGCGGTGGCTCAAGCTTGTAATCCCAGCACTTTGGGAGGCCGAGGCGGGTGGATCACAAGGTCGAGAGATCGAGACCATCCTGGTCAATTTGGTGAAACCCCGTCTCTACTAAAAATACAAAAAATTAGCTGGGCATGGTGGCGTGTGCCTGTAATCCCAGCTACTCAGGAGGCTGAGGCAGGAGAATTGCCTGAACCCAGGAGGCGGAGGTTGCGGTGAGCCGAGATCGCGCCATTGCACTCCAGCCTGGGTAACAAGAGCGAAACTCCGTCTCAAAAAAAAAAAAAAAAAAAAAAAAAAAAAACTCAGAGACTGATGTTCATATCCCAAACTAGTAAGATGGTGAAAATACTGTGAATATTTTTTCTTTTTTTCTTGAGACAGGGTCTCTGTTGCCCAGGCTGGAGTACAGTGGCGTGATCTTAGCTCATTGCAAACTCTGCCCACCCCCCTCCCCTCCCCCCACCCCTCCCCCCACCCCCCATTCAAGCAATTCTCCTGCCTCAGCCTTCTGAGTAGCTGGGATTATAGGCGCGCACCAGCACGCCTGGCTCATTTTTGTATTTTTAATAGAGACAAGGTTTCACCATGTCGATCAGGCTGGTCTGGAACTCCTGACCTCATAATCCGCCTGCCTCACCCTCCCAAAGAGCTGGAATTACAGGCGTGAGCCACCGCGCTCAGCTTTTTTTTCTTTTTCTTCCCAGCAAATATATTCTATCATATAAAATACGATTTTTGGGGGGGTACTTTATAAAGTATTTCTTTATGTGAAAGCACTTGTCATATCAAAACACAGCATATATTCAACCTAACCAAATATGTTTACACTTTTTCTTTCAGGAGACAAGAATTCTTTGGGTCGCTTTCAAATGGTATCTTGGTGTTACTACATTATGCCTATCTATTGCCCTTATAATTTCAGTTGGGACCAGGACTGATCATTCTGCAAATGCTTATTAGGCCATTCTCAATCTATTTCCCCCCCACCTTTTCACATGATTTGTGGTTAATAGGACTCAATAGAGTAAAATTGCACAGTAGGAAAAAAAAAAAAAAAAAGCAAAAAGCCAGCTGGTAATGTTTATTGCAACTGGGGTGCTATACAATTAGTAAGATGATGCAATGAGAATTTCCACTTTTGTATTTCCTGATCTGCCTGCTCAAAGTGGCTTTTATATCAATGGAATGATTTTCCTCATTTTTTAATACAGGAAACCAATTTGTGCTCATGGAAGAAAGGTTCCTTTGCCAGCAGCCTTGAAGTGAATCTTACAGGAGCAATGAAAGTATTGCATTCATTAGTGTCTGACCCAGAGGAGGTTCAGGGAAAACCTTCACTTGTTTTCAAGGGGATCCTTGTAGATTTACGTAATTGGAACCCTGAAGAACAGGCCCTACTGTCTAAAAATGGCTTTTATTCTTCTAAAGACATATAAACTGGTGTTTTATAGACGGGAAGACATGACCTTAGAAAGGAGGGAGTTTTCAGAGGATTTGCCAGGCTGTCGGGCTCTGCCTCCAGGCCCAATGTGGCAGCGTGGCCTCAGGGCCTCCGCCTCACTGCTCAAGGACTGCATGGAAGCCAACTGTCCTGGGAGTTTTAAAAATCTTTTTAAGGTCAGACCAATTTGAGGGATTTAAAAAAGTGTCTCAATGCCTCCTATTATGATTTCAGAAGGGTTTGCTGTATGTAATCCCAACTACTGTTTTCTTGAGAGTAGCAGAGGATTAAAAAAAGCTCTCCATGAATTATGTAACCAGGCTCCTGGCTAGCCTGATTCAAGCAATGTAAGAGATAATTATTCTATTTTCATAATTTATAAGTGTAGGGGCATGCATCAGCATAAAAACAACCTATTAGAGAAAAATATCTAATAGATTACCTATTAAGGTAATCTATTATCACCTATTAAGGTTTTGTGTTGGTTTTAATTCAGATGCCATAAGAACAAAGATACATGTAATTTATGATAGTCATCATTCACACCTCTATTGTGCTTTAAGGTTTACAAAATAATTTTTCTCATACTTTATCTTAATTCCTTGACAGTCTGTGAAGTAAGGTGGTAGTTTTATCACCATTTTACAAAGTGGGAAATAAAGATGGAGAACAGTCCTTTTAGGAACCTGGTTATCCCCTTTGTATAATAAAACTTCCGCAGCTCGGAGTTGTTCACTGGTTTACTGAAGGCTTAGTTATGAGAGCCAGAATTCAGACCCAGGTCTGTGTGACTTCAAATTGCACACTCATTCCTGTTATTACCAACATGCTGTCGCTTATATTTTTAATTTATTAGGAATTCGTTAGTTTATAAACTTGGTGATTCAACTTGATTAGATTCTGGTCACTGAAGGCTTTAGTAACTTCAGAGTAAAACTTGAGAGATGAGATGTGAAATGCAGCTTTTCTTGAGAGTTCCTTTTTCTGTGATATTCATCAACATGTCATTGAGACGTGAAGGTTCCTCTGGCTGCCTGTACCTTCAGGAGGCTTAGCTTTAGTCACTGAGAAAGACAAGGAAACTAATGATAGAATATAGCATAGCTTCCTCTTGTGTTAGGGATCAGAGTCACAGCTAGTTACAGCTAGCCCCTTATTATTGAAAGAGGAGGAGCTAACAGCCCCACTATCAAAACTAAGACTAGAGATGGCAATAGGAGCTAGTGTCAGAAAAGCTTAAGGCAAAGCACAAAGTGTAGGCTAGAACGAAGCCGGAGAATGAGGAGGGGCCTTGGCAGCATCCAGAACCTGGCTGGGGACCTGGAACTACATGAGATAAAAGAATGGAGGGGTCCTAGCAGTCAGAGGTTAGGAACAAATAAACATCTGGGATCTGGGCACGGCAGACAGTGAAAAAACCAAGGCAAGCAAAACAGTCAGAGCAGGAGGGGGCCCAAGGCCACGTTCTTGAGATGTGGAGCAGCGGGCTGAGGAAGCCATGCCAAGTGAGGAGAACAGATGCAGCTCAGCAGTTCGTAGCGAGCCCTGACAAGCCAGCTCAGCTGAAGCTTCGGGTGGCAGCCAGTCATGGCACAGTTGAGTGAAGGAAGAGCAGTTTCAGGCACCCAGAACCAGACTCCCACAGCTTGTTTTCCACCTTAAGAGCCACCCATTCCATCCAAACCCTTTGCAAAAGTCTGCTAACAGAGAGAATCTCCCAGTATACGGGCCTCTCGCCATCCTGCCTGTCTTTACTCTCTAAGATGAAGCTGCCTGTCAACGGTGAGATGGCAAACAGGTGAGTCCAGAAGAGGGGAAAAGAAGGAAGTCTGGAAAAACAAAATGCTGAAGAATCTGCACCAAATAAAGCCTTCTTTCCTTCTTCCTTCTATCCCTCCATTCATCATTCAGTAAATCTTTAGTGAGTCCCTTCTAAATGTATTGTATCAGAACTTGTGGGGGATATAAAGGAAAAAAATCATCACATGGCTTACGATGTTTCCAACTCTTGGATCATTTTCACCCCAGGCCCATTAGTTACAGAGCACTCAGGCTTACCCAGAAGCATCGGATATGGTCCAGGCAGGATCCAACCGTGTGGGAATCGCAGTGTGCTGCTGCATGTGGGACTCTTATCGAGCCAGCCTCACTCGAGGAGCAGCCTGAGGAAGTGGGATTTGTCCACCCTTGCCTGGCTCTGCCCTTACAACTTGTTCTTATCTACTTCCAAAGTAAGGAACGTCCCATGATGGGCCAGGCAAACAATCCAAAAAAAGTGGCTTGGAGTTAGCTACTGCAATTAGCAATTTCTCCTTATTCAACATTACATTACCTCTTTTTCATATTAGTTAATGCAGAATTTTATTTTTATGTATTTATTTATTATCTTCCCAAACCCAGTGTTTTAGGAAGAAGATTACATATAAATGATGACTTTTAGGAATCTTATCAAGTTTTTGTTTCTTCAGCACTAAGTAGCTTCTTTTCTAGGCAGGTCTTAATTCTAAATGCAACGTGCCTGAAAAAACTATTGAAAGAATCCATCTCTTGAGCATAGTATTTAATATACATATCAGGCAGTCACCATCTCAAGAGTGATTAGGCTTAAGCGCTGCCCTCCGTCATATGAGGGATGCCAAGAGACTAGAAGCCTAGACTTTAGCTCTTTATTAGGTTGGTACAAAAGTAATTGCAGTTTTTGCCATTAATAATAATAATTGCCTAGCCATTGTGCCGTATCTTGCAAGAGCTCTTCCAAACCACATTTCAAAATTGCTCTTTCATGCCAACTAGGTGCATGTCTAAGGGAGTTTTTGCAAGGACAGGTAGAGAGTATGATGCCTTTAAAATAATCACATCATGATCTGGTACTATCTTTATGGCAGGGCAGTTCTGATGTAGTGTTACAGATCATGTATTTTCATGATGGGACTGTGACTGGCAGCCTTCATTAGCCTAAAAACTGATGCAACAGATTGCTTTGCAA